TTGGAGAGTGCGTCCGCTTGAGCATTTTGACCCCTTGGGATCAGCTCTACTTCGAAAGATCTCAGCTTCGCAATTGTCGATTTGATCCTTGTGAGGTAAGCTGCCATTGAAGGCTCTTTAGCCTCATACTCCCCCCGGATCTGATTGGCGACCAGCTGAGAATCTGTCTTGAGGTAGACATGCTCGGCTTCCAACGATATGCACAGGTCTAAGCCAGCAATGGCTGCTTCATATTCGGCCTCGTTGTTAGAGGCTTTGAATGAAAATTTTAGTGCATACTCGAAGGTTTTGCCTTCGGGAGAGGTAATGACGACCCCTGCCCCCGAACCGTTCACGGTGAAGGACCCATCCGTGAAGACGGTCCAGATTTTCCTCCTTGCATCCAGAGTCTCCTGATAGGAGCACTCGGCCAAGAAGTCTGCCAAGGCTTGCGCCTTGATGGCTGTTCTCGGCTGATAACCGATACTGAACTCGGTGAGCTCGAAAGCCCACTTTGCTAGTCTACCGGATTTTTCAACCTTGCCGAGGACTTTCTCTAACGGCTGATCAGTTAGAACCGCTATTTGATGAGAATCAAAATAGGGTCGCAACTTCCGAGCAGCCACCACCACTGCATAAGCCACTTTTTCTAACAATGGGTAGCGCGTCTCGGCATCCGTCAGGGTGTGGCTGACGAAATAGATCGGCTGTTGAACTTTTTCTTCTTCCCTTAGCAGCACCGCGCTTACCGTGGCTGGACTGACCGCCACGTATAAGTATAGGATGTCTCCTACGACTGGCCTTGCCAGTGTTGGGAGTTGAGCCAGGTGTTCACGGAGCTGCTGAAAGGCTGACTTTTGTTCGTCTCCCCATTCAATGCCTTTTGAATTTTGGAGCTTCAGCGCCTTGAAGAAAGGGAGCCCTTTGTCTGAGGCTCGTGAGATGAACCTGGACAAGGCAGCCATTCTCCCGGCTAGACGCTGAATATCTCTTTTTGTCTTCGGCTCGGGGAGGTCTAAAGCAGCTTGTACTTTGGCGGGGTTTGCATCAATCCCCCTCTTGCTGACCATGAAGCCGAGGAACTTGCCTGACTTCACGCCGAAGACACATTTCTTCGGATTCAGCTTCATTTTGTATTTTCTGAGGGTGGCGAAGGTTTCGGCTAGGTCCGTGACATGATCTTTTTCTTTTATGCTTTTGACGATTGAGTCGTCAACATAAACCTCCATGTTTCGGCCTTTTTGCTCGGCGAAAACCTGATCAACCAACCTCTGATATGTTGCCCCCGCATTTTTCAATCCGAAGGGCATCATTCTGTAATTGTACAACCCGGAACTTGTTATGAACGCTGTTTTAGCTCGGTCCTCGGGGTGCATGAAGATCTGATGGTATCCCGAGAATGCGTCCATGAAACTGAGCAGAGCATGCCCGCTTGTCGAGTCGACCAGTTGGTCGATCCTCGGCAGCGGATAGGAGTCCTTGGGACATGCCCTATTCAGGTCCGTGAAGTCAACGCACATCCTCCAGTTACCATTTTCCTTCTGAACCATTACAACATTGGCCAGCCACTCCGGATACTGACAGGGTTCAATGAACCCAGCATCTAGGAGCTTATCGACCTCAGCTGCGATGTTCTGGTTCTTTTCGGCGGAGTAGTTCCGCTTTTTCTGCTTAATGGGTCGACTGGAGGGGTCGACATTAAGCCTATGGGAGACGAAGTCCGGATCAATCCCGGGCATTTCTGCGGCTGAGAAGGCGAACACGTCTCCACTGGCCCGTAGGAGTTGGACGAGTGCCGCACGGGTGTTTGGCTCCAGTGACGACCCGATGCTAACACATCTGTTCGGATCTCCTACGGTCAGTTCTATTGACTCGGTCAGGTCATCCATTTCCATGCTCTTAGAGTTGGATTCCTCGAATTCCGGCCTGCTATCAATATTAGCAGACTTTCCTGACCGCGGCTGGCCATCAGAGTCGTTCGGCTCTGAGGCGGAGTCAGCCTTTTGGCCCCCATCAGATTTCTCGTTGTCTGGGGCTTCATTAGCCGAAACGTCTGAGCCTCTCGGCTTTTTGGCGTTTCGGTCCCGGTGCTTTTCCTCCCCATCGCCACGGTCGCCTCGGCGAGACGTGGATGGCTTGAGGTGATTGCATCGGCGGGCTTCTTTTTGACTGCCCTTTATTTTCTCGGAGCGTCCCTCGTCTGAAACGTATATCATGATTTGATGATACGTGGAGACGACTCCTTGAATGCCGTGAATGAGGGGTCTCCCCATGATCACGTTGTATGCAGAGGGAGCATCTACGACCAAAAATTCGGCCATGATATTCCTAGCTGCTCGGCCTTCGCCGATGGTGACAGGAAGTGTAATCTTCCCGTCAGGATACGAGGAAGAGCCGTTGAATCCAGACACCGGGTAGGGTGCGGGGGCCAGGTGCTCGGCTCCCATCCTCAGCTGGTCGAACGCTCCTCGGAAGAGGATGTTCGCCCCGCTACCGCCGTCGACGAGGGTCCGCCAGACGTTGCGGTTGGCGATGCCCAGAATGATTACTAGTGGGTCATCGTGGGGGTATACCACCCCCTCACAGTCTTCGGCTGTGAACAGGATGTTCGGCGCCGGTGACTGGGACTGCCGAAGCTCAGCCTGATGAATCTGATGGGTTAGACCCCTCAGTTGGCGTTTGGCTGTGCCTCGCGAGATTCCCCCGGAAATAACCAGGATGTCGAGGGACTCCTTGCCCTGAGGTCCCTTATCCTTCTTCCGAGCGAAGTTGAGGTCCTGCCGAGAATCTTTTTCAGCTTTTTTCTCCTCGCGCCTGTCCGCGAGGTATTGGCTCAGGTACCCCTTGCGGACCAGATCCTCAATCTGGTCCTTCAGCTGGACGCAGTCCTCGGTGCGATGTCCGGGTGAGTCATGGAACTCGCACCACTGGTCCTTTCCCCTCGTCTGATGCCAGGGAGGCAACGGACGAGGTTTTTTGAATCTCCCCTCGTCCTTCGTCGTGCTGAAAATCTTAGCACGGGGAAGGGAGAGTGGAGTGTATGAATCGTACCTTCCCGTGTAGGGAAAGTGTCTTTCCTTCTTCGGCTCGGCAGCAGAGGACGGTTCTGAGGCCTTAGCCTTCCCTTTCCTCTGCGCCGAGACTTCGGGCTGCTGCCCTTTCGGCTTCTCAATTCTCGGACGAGACTGAGACCTGGATCTGTTCCACTCCTCGGCTCGGATGAACCTATCCGATGCTTCCAAGGCTTCCTCCAGGGTCTGCGGGGGATGCATGACCATGAAGTCCAGGAACTTTCCAGCTTGGAGGCCGTTCCGTAGCGCGAACACGGCCAGGCCTTGATCCAGGCTTGTGATTCCGGATGACTCGTTGCTGAAGCGAGTCAGATAGTCGCGGAGGCTCTCGTCCTCCGCCTGCTGCAGACTCATTAGCTCTGCAGTGGTCTTCTCTCGGCGGTTGGCCGTAGAGAATTTGCTCTTGAACTTGTTGGAGAGGTCGTTCCAACCGGTTATGGAGCCTTCCTTGAGCCCTTTGGTGATCCAGGATTGGGCAACACCTTTGAGGGTCGTAGGAAAGTATTTACACCAGGTAGCCTCAGACCTCGGGTTCAGATACATGTGCCCCTCGTAAGAGGCAATGTGATCCTTAGGATCTGAGGTACCATCGTAAGTAATATGTGCCGGGATTTTGACCGTTGGCACATGCTCTTCCAGAATCCACTTCTGGAAGGGCGAGTTCGATGGAACCATGACCGCCTTCCCCTTGTACCCGGCCTCAGGGACCTCGCTCCCTCCTCTCTCAGAGGTGGAAGTGGTTTTCGTCCCCGGCTGAGACAAGGTTGGGTGGGGTCCGGTATCCTCTGGGAAGGTGAGGCGGCTATGCACACTCACCTCCCTCGAACCCAAGCGTTCGTGAACGCTTCGGCGGGCGAATTCCGGGTCCTTGGAGGGCCCCATGGAATTCTGAGCTTCAGAGTGGTCAGAGGGTTGAGGGTTCCTCCTCCTCTCCTTACTGGAGTTTCGGGTGTCCCCTCGCCACCTCTGGCCGAGCTGTCTATGTGGTGGAACTTGTCCACCATCATCCTGACCGATCCTCCTTTTCAGGTTTCCCGGCTGGTGATCATCAGGCATCTGGATTGGAGCCCCTTGAGCTTTAAGGAACTCCATGCAGATGGCCACTGCTCTGGCCACTTCCTCGGTGGAGGGTCCGGAGGGAGGAGTCTCCCGCGGATGTGACCTGGATTGCACGCTATGGCGCGGCGGGGAGTTCCTCGCACCTGAGCCACTCGGTCTCGGGGATGGCCCCGGCTGCCGAGTGTGGTGCGAGGTGTTCTCCTCCTGGAGGCTAGGACCTCTTGAGGCTTCCCTTTCCGGAGAAATGGGGGCCTCCGATTCGGAAGAGGCTTGCTCCGGGGAGGGATAAACCGGCTGGCGTTCCCTCACCGTAATCTGGCCTCCTCCCTTCTTAGCCTTCTTGGAACTCTTTCCACTCTTAGTCATGGCGACTGCCGGAGTGTTTGATGACTGACGCGAAATTTAGTAGCGTTCCCCACAGACGGCGCCAAATTGTTTCGGATGAAAACAATCGAATCTCGGAAGATCCTTTTATCTTGAGGGAACTTGGTCTCGGTCCGAACGACGCAGGAGCCGAGGGTTTCCTGCACAACAAATACACGTAAACTAGCCTCGGGGGGGACGCCGAGGAAGGCCCCTCCGATGCTTAAGTCAGTATATTAGAGAGAGAAAGCTGTGCAAGAGTTTAGTTGCTTGAGGCTTTTTTGTCTTACCAAGAATTGACCAAATTGTTGGCTTTTATACCTTGGCTAATGAAGGAGGCGGATTGGGCCCGGAAGTCAGTTGGGCTGGGCCAAGCTGATTGGGCCGTTGACTGACCTTGACATGGCTTTGAGGATGTTTGATTTTTGACTTTAGCACATTTGGAGAGTTGAACCTTAACCTTGGGCTTTTAATTGGATCATTCAGTGACCAGGCCCAATTGGACTAAATTGGACCCAAACAGTTTGTAAAGGTACACCAATGTCATTAACATAGAGGATGTGCCTTAAATTTACTAAATTACCTATTTCTTTTGGAAAAATACTCTTATTTGGGTCTGTTACTAATTGATTATGGCTATATACACATAGTATTTGCAACTGGTAAAGTTTGGCGATGAAACCCAAACCATGGCTAACACTACTTCCAAAGTACCTCAAATGTTTTAACCTACCCAACAGCTCCCAATCAAAATCCTCACTCCAATTTTGTCCTATATCTAACACCCTTAAGGGGTTGTTTTTTAACAAAACATGTAAGCTAGGACCTTCAAGTTTCTTATTGTAAAGCAAGCATGTTCTCAACCTTTTTGTAGAAGATGTGAGAGTGAGCTCTTTGTTTTTAGAATGTTTAGGAACTATCAAGTGTCGAACCTCATTTGACATTTCATCTTCATCTGAAAACCAGCACTCTCCCTTTGAAATAAAACGTGCAAGAGACAATACTAGATCATGCATCTTAAATGTCTTCACTTTGCCAAATTCATCCATCTTTGGCTCTTGGAAAAGGGAACTATTCAACAAATGCTCAATATATTCTTCACCTTTAGCCTCCATTTCAACATACGGGTGCAAGAAGCCTTGTGTCATCCACATGCATATCAACTTTTGCTTTTCAATGATATCATCTTCTTCGAAAATGGCACAATAAGCAAAGCATTTTTTCAAAGCCGTGCATGGTAAGTAGTCATAACTTAATCTCAAGGAAGGTAAAATGCCATTATTATCTTTATTCGTCCACAAATGACTCTTCTCAAACTCCTTCCATATCTCTATATCTTTATCCCTTAGCAAGTTTCCTAGTGCTTTTATGGCTAGAGGAACGCCTCCACAGTTCTTCATCATCCTCCTTGCAATCAACTCTTTCTCACTGCCAAGATTATCATCACCTATTCTCTTCATAAGAAGAGACCAACTGTCACATTCACTCAATCCCTGCAACATATAAATTGAGGGCTTTCTAATGGTTATTTTATCATAACCAGTTGTTTCCATTTTTTCTACCGCAAATTTGTCACGTGAAGTCACTAATACATTATTAACACGTGATCCACCAATTTCCTCTAGCGTAGATTTCAGGGAATCCCAATCAATTGTATCCCATACGTCATCCAATATGAGTAAATACTTCTTTTTCTTCAACTTTTCATGAAGCCTTAATATCAGTGCCTGTCTATCTCTCATGTTTGAAGAATCTTTCAAAACTATCTCCACCATTCTATTTAAAATATCTAGCAGATCAAAACTAGAAGAGATGACAAGCCAAATAACCATGGAGTTGAAGAATTTTGTCACCTTATGTACCTTGGAAATGCGTTTACACAATATCGTCTTTCCCAAACCTACCATTGAAGTAAAAGAGCAAAAAAAGAAATCAAATTATATGAATATTCAGGGACACTATACTATGCATCCATCGAGTACATCATAGAATGAATTGATCGAGTGACAATATCAAGGTAATAATTTTACAACTTATAAAATTGTAGTTCACGAGGCATATCATGCATCTACATCAGGTGAAAATAGTACAGTCATGACAAGAAAATGAATAAAATTCAGCAATTTTGTAACAACGAAAAATAAATGTATGTAGAAGTATGTACGTAGTAAAAGAGATGATATGTAGGGTACCTGCCATGCCCACAATGCCTATCACAGTGAGAGTTGATAAGTTGTTGGTGTTGGAATCACATAATAACTTAACAAGGTGCATGTGCTAGCTCCTCATCCCTTCCTATGAGTAACTTTTCATCCACATAGTGTCGCATGTTACAAAGCCTTGTCTCTTGATCTTCAATTTGATGAGAGTGTTGATTGTTGTAAATCTCACCTGCAGCAACACCGATAGGTTTGATGCCAAGCTTGTAACCATCACTGTAGATGTTGCTGATCAATTTTGTCAAGTCCCTTTCTTTGTGACCCATACGTAAGCTGTAAAAGGGCTTAGAGACTCCGCGTATAAACTTGTCCCTCTTTCGTATCCGGATTCTGGCCTCTAGAGCTTCATAGGACCATTCGTCCAACAAGTCGTCAGCATCGTAGGCAGCATCTTTGATTTTTTTGAGCCAATCATCCATCAGTGAATTGGTGATTGCCTGGGAACAAGCACCTTGTAACATCTCCATTACTGTACTGAGTTGTACTTGAAGCTCCTCTAACTCTTTCTTAAATCCCCAAGCTAGCTTGATTTCGGCGTTGATACGTGACAACACTATTCCAATCACTCCATGAGCTTCGCTGGCTAGAAGTCCACCTACCGCATTTTCCACTATGGCGTTCATGTTTCTCAACAAATTCAAACAAAGCAAATAGTGTATATATTTTTACTGCAAAAAAAGATTGAATTGAGGTGGAAAGCACTCTCAATTTTTTCAAGCACAATAGTAAAGCGACCAATAAATATAAGAGAAATAAAGACTTATCCTTGTTCAAGATAGACAACTAAGACTTATCGATCTTGTATTCTCACCTTGTATTCTTATGGACTTATCTTTAATTGATCAAAGTATGTATGTGGTATATGTCTATAAGAAGACTTATCAAAGTACTATGTAGGGCTTCTTCCCATGTGCTAAAAGGACGTACTGCTCACAATGTTTGTAACCCATTGAATTTTCTACGCTTACCAGATTCTTGATATCAATAATTTTGGCCTCCTATTCTATTAGTAAAATGTTTTACTTTTTCATTATTACGTTATTGTTTTAGTTCACCTTATTATATTAAACTGGAATTATTTTTACTAACATTGAATTATTTTTGTTGAGAAAAAACAGCCCCAAGAAGTGGATTGCGCCTAGCAGCAAGGTGATCAAAATAAACTGTGATACCTCTCTTTATGTGGAACAGTGGAAGGCTGGGTTGGGCTCGAGGCAGTGGCAAGGGATGACAAGGGGACTGTTCTGTTTGCTGGTTGTAGGCACATGTGTAGAAGATGGCCTCTTGTGCTTGCTGAGGGGATGGCGGTGCGATTTGCTGTGACTTTGAGGCGTATATATGGATTGAAGCACCTACTTGTGGAGTCAGACTATCATTCCCTAGGTATAAATCATTATTAAGCAGTAAATGGGTGCTTGAAAAGGGGTGTAAGTGGGTGATCGGAGATGGCAAGCAAAGCAGTGAACATCTGGAGCGATCCATGGTTAAATATACCCCTTCATTCCGTGTGATTTCGAGAAAAAACGAGGGTAGCAACTGTGAGCTGGTAGCTGACCTGATGGATGATAATGGTTGCGGTTGAAATGTAGTGACTGCGAAGGAAAATTTTCTGCCTTTTGAAGCAGAGGAAATTTTAATTATGCCTCTAGCTTCAACTTGCTCGGATGACTCTTATATATAATATATGGAGTTATGAAAAATCAGGAGAGTACTCAGTCAAATCTGGCTATCATATTATTGCTTTTCTTAGGAGTATGCATGGAAGATGGCAGGAGTGTTTCTTCTACCCCAACATCTTTATGGCAGAAAATTTGGAAATTAGCAGTCCCTCCGAAGGTGAGTATTTTTATTTGGAGACTCTGTTCGGGGGACTTGCCCACAAGTTTGAGGTTGCACAGACGAATAGAGAGCATCTCACCAATATGTACTCGTTGTCACAAGTTTGAGAAGTCTGAATTGCATGCAATCTGGGGATGTAATTTTGTTTCTGAGGTATGGGAGAGCTCTGAGCTACTAATGGGGTGTCCTCTGGTTAATAATGTAGTAGACTGGGTTGATTGGGTTGTTTCAAAATTGGGGGAGGAGAGAGCTCGTGTGTTAATGATAGCATGGGAGTTGTGGAATAAGGGGATTGCCAAAGACACCCTGCTGAAATTGTAGCGGTTGCGATTTCATTGCTTCAAGCGTATGAAGATGTGGAAGTCGCTGCTCTGGTGCCTCAAAGAATTGGTGTGCAGAAACGTGATCAAACACTGTGGCGGCCTCCTGCAGTGGGGGTCATGAAATTAAACACGGACGGTGCTTGCTTTAATGAGAAGGGTGTGGGATTGGGTGCTATTTTAAGAACCACGAAGGGGACGTTGTTCGTGCTGCTTTCCTACAAACTCGGTGCCAGTGGGAGGCAGGCATAGTTGAAGCTAAAGCACTAGTTTTGGGGCTGAAGTAAGCTGTTCAATTCAATGCTCGTAAAGTTGTAGTGGAGAGTGATTGTTTGCATCTAGTCAACTTGATTAAATGACAAGCCAGCGGATGGATCACTGCTGGGGATGATTGTCAAAGAGATTAGTTCTATTTCTTCTTTTTTTTTTTTTTTTTTTTTTTTTTACTATATTGTATTTAAGCATGTGTTTAGAGAAGCTAACTGTGTAGCTCACGCTTTGGCGCATCTAAACCCACTCGAATACACTACGAGAGTGTGGGTAGGGGGCTGTCCAAGTGTGGTGAAGGAGATGGTTGTTTATGACTTTTGTCTGATCAATAATACTACGTAACAATTAGCGGAACATTCCGTTTCCTTCAAAAAAAAAAGGAATGCAAGAAATTGTAACTTCCAAATTAATGGGGATCAACCCCTTCATAGATCATTATACAAAGAAGAAAATTTAAATTAACATTGAGAATGTCATCAAAGAAGCATTACAAGTAGTTAGAACAACTCACATAATCCAAAAAAGAATTCCAAGATATAGTCATGAAGAGGAAAATTATCATAGCTAGTTTACCCTCGTATATACTTCATTTCAATCATATATACTCTAAAACAATTGTATCATAGTTTATCCTCATCATACCTGTTAAAATCTATTTTGGCATGTGAATTACACAACGTAGACAATTTCCATCAATCATAAGATTGAAAGCTTTGTTGATGTCTTCAAATTGAAGATTATGAGTGATAAACTGATCAACCGGGATTTCCTGTGGGAAATTGTTAATGAATTATACCAATATAGTGGAACCAAGAATAATTTCATAACAAGAAGGATTTTAATTACTTATAGCAGCAAGGTACAATGAATTCTCTCCAAATTATGGGAAAATGCAAAAGAAGTCACCTAAAGGTGATCATGTAATGATGTTCTTACTCTAATCAAGTCCATATACAAGTTAAACCATCATTCTGGTAAAAGGAAAACCATGTAACTGTGAAAAAAGCAAGGATGCAGTGATATACAGATGCAGTATCATGTTCAGTCAGCATTTCGCTGAATGACTTAAGAAGATAAATTATTTGTAATTTTTAAACTATTTGTACTCTAAAACTATTTGTAATTTTTCTAGCCTACCTTTGCTGAGAAAGCCAGTTTAGGCTGCACCCAGGTACACAATGTACCACTAATTGAAATAGTCATTTAAAGACACCTAAAATTTAATTGGAAAATTCTCTTTGGTAGACCTCTAATAATAAACATTCTCAGTGATCAAATGCAAAAAAAGTTATTATCCTTGGTGAACCATGTTTTATAAAGTTTTATCAATGGTAACATTAAGCAAGATAATTAGGCATTTTAAGCGTAACTATGGTTAACTAATGATGTAATGACTAATTTGACCCTATGGTTAACCCCTTCTTAAAACATGGTTTAGCAAGGATAATAACTTTTTAATGACTAATTACCTTGCTTAATGTTACCATTGATAAAACTTTTTAAAACATGGTTCACCAAGGATAATAACTTTTTTTGCATTTGACCACTGAGAATGTTTATTATTAGAGGTCTACCAAAGAGAATTTCCCCTTATCAGCACCTTATTCTTCAAAAAATAAAAATTATATTAATTAAGATTGATGGTTTTTTTCCAGGGTTTTGGGAATCCATCATATATATACTACGGATCTTTGTTAGTATTTGTCATTGGTATCTCAAATTGATAAGCATTACTATTATTAGTCTTACAGCTTGATAAATTGTTAAATTAGTTCTTGCTAATAGGGTTGAGAATTGAATGATAAATTTATAGAGGTTTGTCTACAAACAGCAATTCTAATTATATTAGCAATATTACTACATATCTTGAGATGAGAACGTCAACACCTCCCATTGACTTACTATTGCTTTAGATAATTGACTAATTGAATTGTTTATAGTATTTGATAGATTATGAATTATAAACAAGGTGAACCAAAATCCTAAGCCTTTTTATCGCTCATACAGTTTTTTAGTTAAACCCTTCAATCCAAAAGCATGACGTTATTAAATTTTACATAACTTGAAAGCCAAATTTCAAATAAGCATCTTCCTATGGTTCCACTCAACTTTCCCTACTACATTGATTGGAGAGTTTATATAAATTCTTTTTGAAAGGTTGTAAGCAACCTATCAACCAACCATCAATAAGGTGTTTGGTTAACATAGCTGAGAAAAGGTAAAGAATTGTTCTATAAATTCCACACTGTATGGTACTTTATTAGTTCACTCTCATCACCATCCAACTCAAAGGAAAATCGCATGTCTACTGTAAGTGTATATTCTCATTTACTGAGCTGAGCTGAGCTGAGCTGAGCTGAACTGAAATTAAGCTGAAAAGAACAGAACAGTCATCTCATGCTTGTTCACGTCTTTGGTATCATTCCAGTTATTTTGTGATATCACTCTTTTATCTCAGTTTTTTTTTTTTCTTTTTTTTCACTCTGTTTCCCTATGAGATGGACATAGCATATTTTGTTTAGTCAATCTTTTTACTGACTTTAAAACAAAAACTAATGTGGAACAAGCTTGTGATTACAAGTCTAACCACTAGTTAGGTCATAATAGCAAGCCAAAGTAGCAAATAATAAGAAGAGTATAGCAGATAATTTAGTTCACACCTTCCTGATGTACATGTCCACCAACTTAGGAATATCTGACTTGGGTTTCCACCCTCCAATTAGCGTCCCTTTCAGTGTTCTCCCAGAAAGAAGCAAACCATAATGAGCTTTCACTTCAGGATCCACTTTTGGTACACCAAGAGTAACAGTCAAACCCCATCCCTGGAAGATAAACAAATTAAGCAGATTTAAACGTTAAATGCAAATTAGTACGAGTTCTTTAAAATGCATAAGAATAACATGAGGGAATTACATCACAGCATGAGAGCAAAGCAGTTGTTACAGTTCCAGTATCACCCACACACTCAAAGGCATAATCAGCTCCTCCACTCGTCATACGCTTAATGACCTGCAAAAGAACAGATTTTGCAGCAGAATTCTTGAGATATTATTGTGAGCTCGTGCAAATTAAAGGCATTCATTGTCTCAGGAAGTAAATTTATGATGGCATTTTATTGATAGACAGAATTCTGCACCACAAGCAGCCAAAGCAAGAGAGGGGGGGTGTTCTTATCATCCAGCAATCACTATTTTCTTATGTTGACAAATTTATGCACATGTAACTGAATACAGTAATGATGGCTCCATAAGTTTGAAATTAAGAAAAGATTGATGTTATTTATTTCAATGATTATGGCACGTCGGAACCCATATATGAGCCCTGTCATAAAATTTTTAATTGTTATTAAGGTAATTTTTGCTGGACAGAAGTTGGAAGATGGCTCAAGATTGCATGCAAGACTTTTAATTTGTGAACAGCAAGGAGTTGGATTTGCTGACTATATCAAGGTTCCTCTCTGCATAGAAGAGTCCTGTTTTCAACCACTTAAAGTGTATAACAAAGCATCTGGTAGGATAAAACATGAAGCTGTCGCTAATCTTTGTAGTGAAATTAAAAAGAGACCAAAGGCAAACTCCAGCAAACCTAACCTAAGAAAGCCAATGGATGAGATGAGTGGTATAATAGTATGTAATTGTTCTCTTTCTATTGTGTTTCGGTTATATTAGAAACTGTAAGAAATTGAGAAAACAACCTATGAAACAGAACTTGACAACAAAACAAGCTTGTTAGAGGCTTTGGGATGGTAAGTGTGTAGTTTGGCATGCACTATGAGAAAGCTAATCATTACCTGATTTATGGGTTCTTCATGATCTGCTGGGTTGACAACATCCGTTATTCCAAATAATCTTGCTGCATAGGAACCACCAACAGAAGTCAAATTTTCTGGTCTTAACTGACAAGAAAAATGGAGAGTTTAACAGAGAGCTTCTTGGAACCTTTCTCAAATTTATCAGGGTTTATGTCAACACCAATTATTTGAGAAGCTCCCCTGAGTTTGGCCCCCAGAGCTACCTGAAGCGTGGTAGAAATTAGACACTTACAAGTGATAAGACCTTTAAACCCATAAAAGCATCTCTTTGTGTAATATACAGGAAGAGAAAGTTGCCCTACTTACAGAGAGACCAACAGTTCCAAGGCCAAATATCACCACAGTTGATTGTTTTGATATATCAGCAACCTTCCAAGCAGCACCTAGACCTAAATACTCGAGCATTCAAGACTTGTTAGAAAAGCTTGAATGCATTAAAGATAAACTTAACTGAAGAATGAAAAGCAGGACATCTATTCCGTTTTCTGTCCACTAGTTACCTAGAAAAATGAGGGGGGAAAAAAAAAAGTTGAAGTTAAAATGTACACAGAAACCCAGACTCCAATCGACTCCTTTAAAAATTTTGTCCATAATAGCAGATTCAGTAGTTTATATTTCTTACATTTATTGATCGAAAAACTGGATCAGATTGAACCAGTTATACAAAAAAATGTTCAAGGAATAAAAGTTATGCTCCCGTCCCTTAATAATCTTCACATCTTGGATTGGCACAAAGGTTAAGAATTATGTTAAATGGGTGAAGATAAGAAATAGAAAGTCATTTTTGGTAGAGTGAGGAAAGGAGATAGAAATTGAGTCGATAGAGAAAGCAAGTATGAAAGTGTGAAGTCATTAAGTATGAGAAATGGAGGGAGTAGAACTACTTAATTAGCCATCCATGAGAGCTTTGGAGTTGTGAGATTTTGTTAAGGACGGCAATAATTTCAAAAAACCATATATAAGGAAGACTAATGAACAATAGACAGAAATTGATAAACAAGTCATTCCATGATTGCTACTTACCTGCAGCTACACCACAACTGAAAAGACATAGTTTGTCCAGAGGAACATCAGGTCTCACTTTAACAGCACAACCAGAATGAACGACAGTGTACTCACTAAAACTTGAGACAGCACAGTAGTGAAACACGGGCTCTCCTCTGATTGAAAAACGTGTCTTCTGATCACTGTGCATGACACCTTTCCTTTCCAGACCTAGAACTTGGCACATATTGCTTTGGGAAGATAAGCAATGTCTGCATGTCATACACTCTCCGGTGAATAATGTAAGCACATGATCACCCTCTTGGAATTCTGTTACCCCCTGCCCTACACTCTCAACAATCCTGCATAGTTTATACATTAACTTATTTAAAAGCTGCTTGATATCATAAACAGAACTGCCAAAATAATCTTCAATTTTGACATTTTTGTATTACAACTGCACTCATAAGTCATAACATAGTCACTCCAGATTAACATATTTCCTCCATGCAGATAACAATGCGACACTGCTCAAACCCCTCAAAATAAAGAATTCACAATGATTCATCAAACTGCTCTTTGTGAAGTTTCATTTCCACCCGCTCTCCAACTTCTAAAGTTAAACAGTGGAGTATTGGATCATAAACTATTTATTTTAGAGACTGCAACAACCTTCTTAAACAACCCCAAATAATAAAAAAGTCCATAGAATCATATTAAGGTAGTAAGAATTATGCAATGAAAACAAGGACAACAAGTTGGATAGCTTCCAGGATCTGAAGTTCTTGGTTAGATGCTTAGACCTGGGTGATCAGGGTAGTCAAACTAGCAGACAAGTTAAATGCACCACTATTTTTTTCCAAGTTTGAATTTCAGAGTATTAGATTAATGGATAATGAACCACGGATGATATAATTTACTGGTAGCGGTGAAATAACTCTGAACTACATGAATCAAATAGTTCAACACTTTAGGTACAACCTTCCTTTACTTTTCTGTATTTGTGCAGCCGGGTAATGCAATAAAAAAGGATATGGCAAAAGGTAAGTGATTGAGGCCATGAAAGACCAGCCCAATACAAATGCTACCAGAAAGATAAACTAGCTCACAAAATTTGGGTTTTAAGACTTTTTAATAGTGCTAGTCAATGCTCATGCACCATTACAATGATAATCACAAGTACTTACCCTGATGCTTCATGGCCAAAGATCCGAGGAAAGATTGGAATAGCCTGCAGGGACAATAAGTTTCCATCAACTCTTATTCTTTTTGTTATCTTGTAGAAGAACTGACAGTGCCCTAGCTATATACGTAGTATATTTTTTCTGAAGATTGAAATTTGAACGCTGTTGATCAATTATTATTCTTAAATTCAGCAGAAAGAAGACATGCTAGGATATGATACCAACAAAAAGGAAGTAATTGTACTGTACATGCTACATTTTACAGGACACACAATAACTTACACCAGATCAACTATGGAACCACAGATTACCTTTGCAAAAAGAAATATGTTATTGCTACTCTATCCAAAAAAGTCCAAGTCGTTAATAACATCTGAAATTATTTCAATTTTTTTATGTATATGCTCCTCCATCTCTATTGCCTTACACTTTTTTTTTTTTTTTTTTTTTGGGGGGGGGGGGACTATCTTCACAACTCCTACATTAAATACAGTGATCAATCATACAAAGAGGCCAAACTCATCTTCCTTGACCTTCAGTTGATGAATTCACCCTGCAGATTAAACAATAACCTTGTTGTCAAGACTACACCAAAAAAGGGACCAAAGATTGAGGATTGAGGATACACTCTTTCCAGTACCAAGTATCACTTACTATATATTTGTTAATAACGGCATCTAATAGGTTTAGGAGATATACAAGCCTTACACGGAACAACAAAGGCAAAAGCACATCGTTGACCCTATTAACAACCTTCACAAGCATCTAGATGGTACAGCCTCAAGGACAGTCTGAATTATTTTTCTCTTTCTGTTTGTTCGGAAGTAATGCAGTAGGCTCACCTCACCTAGAAGATGAGAAAGAAACCCATCATATGTGCCCACTGAATCTTGATCCTTGGAAAGGAGGTAGAGATCAGAGCTGACCAACAACTGTTCTGCTTCTAAAGGACTGTTTGACGATTAAGTTATGTGTCATAGCAACATGCATCTCATCCCACATGTTTTATATAACAATGAGGTGAGACATTGAGTGAATGTATCCTTGTTCCAGATTGTATATATCCCATCTAGCTTTATCTAAGTGCTTCCTATAATAATTACTGTAGTATGTCTCTGCTATGAAATATGATTCAGTCCAGGCAAGAAGGGGGGGGGGAGAGAGGGGATAAGGCAAGGAATATGATAAAATAAGATCAACAAATAGTACAGGGAAGTATGTTTCAGAAACATAAAAGTTAATCTTCAGCAATAGAAGAGATCTAGGGTACTGCTATAAGCCTATATCAGGGGTTTTTGTCTAACTCTAAGACCTTGTACCCTGCCAGGTCTCCAATAGCTGTATTGAGTATTGACCGATCCTTTGATGAGTACAAATTCTATAATCACATAAAATGAACTTGACATGAAAGCCTTGTGTGACTAGAAGAGATTCGAAGTAAATAAGGCCATAAAGGCAACAATGAGCTCTTTTGACTGTTAGATAATTACTCGTTTCTGTTCTGGACCATACTATATGGCTATAATATACAATTTTACACTGCATCCTTACATCCTTGACTTTAAATAGAATCATCTTTAAGACTACAATCATTGAATTTGGGATCAATGGGAGAAATAGAGAAAATCGTAAGCTCATAAAATGGTACTTTTGAGCACATGGCTGCATTGTTACAATTATACCCATACTAGTATGTCTATCATGACCACTCACTTTTATTTGAGCCTCAGCCTCAACTATCAGACATTAGAAAGGAATTTGGATAAATGTAGTCATCCATGTACAAAACATTATTTTTACTCACTTTGCCTGACATTTTCACCATTTGATCAGGTAAGATTGCATTCAGGAATAATTGAGTTTTCTCTCAAGGCAACTTTCCCTTTTTTCGAACCCAAGTCAAGTGTGTGCTTAGAGCAATGACCCTAACTCAGGTGTAAGGCTACTACCCCTCAAAAAGCGGGCTTTTTACATCCGTATATCATCCTAACTTAATGCTTAAATCCAACTAAAACTTACTATCACCATACTCCTTTGGTTTCTTTTTTATTAATCCAATTTGGAATCGAATCTTGAGAGATTCCTATTCAGGAATAATTTTAGTTAAACAATTTTCATATAGTATTAAGGGTCTGCTTGGATCGGCGTTAATATATTAATAGGGTAATAAAAATTCAAACTAAAGAAAATGAATGAACATATAAAGAGTTGCAAGGAAGAATGAGATAATGATTGTGTAATTGTAAGGGGATTAGAGTCATGGTGTGGTGAGAGGAGAACAAAAGAGAAATATAACCCTCAATGTGGGGTAATAGTAATCCTAGGGTGAGGTGGGTATATTTTACCCTCATTATGAAGATACTAATTTCTCCATCCCTCTCTTTAACTCTTTATCTCCATTATATCATTTTTGTATCTCCTTTAACATCACCACTTTACTAGTACCTAGCCCGATCATGCTCTGACATGTATTCTCAAAAAAACAATTATTTTAATTTTTGTATTCCTAAATTTATATCACGTTATTTGTAAGGGAAAAAGGGATTTTTTTTTTAATGTAACACTTGTATTTTTAGGATAACTTTGGTGATTAGTTTAGTATATAGTATAAATAGATATCGACCATATCGTAGTTTGAATTTTATTACTCTCTGAATACATTTACCCTTAAACAAAGCATGGACTAAAACATAATTATTTGTAATCTTGTTAGAATCGTACCGATTTTTAATTTCCAAATATGTAATGTTTATAATCTTATGTAATATGAAGCTTGATACTTGAGATCGAGTATGAAAAAAAAAAAAACAAACCAACAAATATAGAGGAAGTACTATTTTTTTAGTTCAAAATTACAACACTATGCTTATTGTTTGGTTCAATTGTAACAACTACTATTGTATACATTTTCACAATTAACCTCCAATCCCATTTGTTTTTCCTTGAAAAATGTGTTTTATTAAGGCTTGAACCAAAGTTTTGTACTACGTACTCCGTCCGTCTCCGAAAGAACAACCCATATGGCCTAATTTTAGTCCCAAAAAGAATGACCCATTAGCATTAAAATACCCATCAATTTACAACATTATTTGTGCAAAATTAGCTTCCCCATATAAATTTTTTTTTCCCATATACTTTTATTATTATCTCTCTCTACTTTTTTTGGTAAACCCCATGTAAATTTATTTTTCCAATATATTTTTACTTCTTTTTTTTTAACTTTATTAATACCCACAAAATCAACCCAAATGGGTCGTTCTTTCGGAGGACGGAGGAGTACAATACAAATGAATTGTGGAATTTTGTGTTTTTCACTTTAACGAATGTGTAAGATTATGCAAATCTCCTTGGAGATGGTATTCTCATTAACCAAGTATAAATAGGGGAAACATTACAAGAGAATTCCAAGAGATAGAATACAAAGAGATACATAATTATGAATACAGAATACCAAAGGGATGAATATTAAGCATATTCATTAACACACCCCCGTAGTCGTAGCGGGAGGAGGCCGAACGCATAGACTGTTTCTGAAATCCAAGAAGAGATGCCGAGGTAAACCCTTGGTAAAGATGTCTGCGTATTGATACGAAGAAGGAACGTGAAGCACACGAACCTGACCCGAGGCAACCTTCTCACGAACAAAGAGGATATCCAACTCGATGTGCTTTGTTCGTTGATGTTGAACGGGGTTGCTAGACAAATACACAGCCGAGATATTATCACAGTATACAAGGGTAGTCCGTCTAATTGGGCAGTGGAGTTCGAGAAGCAAGTTGCGAATCCAACAAGTTTCCGCAACAACATTAGCGACGGCACGGTATTCTGCTTCGGCACTCGATTTAGACAATATCGGTTGCCGCTTTGCTGACCAAGACACAAGATTATCATCGAGGTAAACACAATAGCCGGAAGTTGATTGCCGAGTATCCGAATAGCCGCCCCAATCGGCGTCCGTATAGGAGACGAGGCTGTTAGGAGCCGATCGGTAGAGGTGTAACCCATGATCGGCAGTGCCCTTAATGTATCTGATGATGTGTTTAAGGGCATTGAAATGTGGCTCACGAGGGTCATGCATAAATAAACAAATTTGCTGAACTGCATATGCGATGTCCGGACGAGTGAAAGTGAGATATTGCAAGGCTCCGGCAAGACTACAATATAAAGAAGGGTCAGCGAATGGTTTACCATCAAGAGCACTCAACTTGGACTTGGAATCGACCGGAGTGGAAACCAGTTTACAATTCCCCATATTGGCACGAGTAATAATCTCCTCCGCATATTTGTGTTGAGAGAGAAACATCACACTAGGGGTCCGAGTCACTGAAATGCCCAAAAAATAGTGAAGTTTCCCAAGGTCTGCCATATCAAATTCAGACTTGAGGAGCCTAATAATCTCGGACTTAAGAGCCTCTTAGGATGCGGTAAGCACGATGTCATCAACATACAAAAGTAAGTAAGCAACATTCGGGCCATTGCGAAAAATAAAAAGTGAGTTATCACTTTTGGCACAGACAAACCCAATCCGAAGGAGAAAATTAGCAAAACGTTGATACCACGCCCTAGGAGCCTGTTTCAGACCATACAAAGACATTCTGAGCCGGCACACATAATGAGGAAACCGAGGGTCCACAAAACCTGGAGGATGATGCATATACACAGTTTCTTTGAGATCCCCATGCAGAAACGCATTTTTGACATCCAGTTGATGAATAGGCCAATTTCGTCCCATAGCTATGCTCGAAACCGTACAAATAGTTGCCGGTTTCACCACCGGACTAAAAGTCTCATCACAATCAATTCCAACCTTTGGAGACTTGCCATTGACAACAAGTCTCGCCTTGTGCCTCTCCAAGTCACCATTTTCTCTGAATTTGTGCTTAAATAGCCACATGCATCGAATAATGTTCACCCCCTCAGGTCTCGGAACAAGTTCCCAAGTCTGTTGTTTAACAAGAGCATTATATTCCTCATTCATGGCGGCATTCCAATTCGGGTCAAGCTTAGCTAATTTTGGATTTTTAGGAAGAGAAGAAATAGCTTGAGCCGAGCAATTGTATTTTGGATTTGGTTTAAAAATCCCATGCTTTGCACGAGTATCCATTTGATGGGTGGAAATCGTACTTGGCCGTGTTTGAGGAGTGGGAATAGGTGTGGGAGGAAAAGATCCAAATTGGATTGAGGGTGAAATAGGGGAATTTGGAGAGTTTGGTGGAGTGGGCTGCTGGGTGGGATTTGGAGAAGATGGCGGATTGGGCTGCTGGGGGGAGTTTGGTTGCTGGGCCTGCACGCGGCCCACCCGCAAGGAAGGGAGTTGGAGAGAGTTGGGTCGAGTGGTTTGTGGGGTAGGAGTTGGGCCGTGCTGCTGTGTTGGGCCGGTTTGAGCTTGCACAAGGAGGGGAGACACTATGGGAGATGGAGAAGAATCCAGAAAACCATGGAATGTTAGAAAATGGGAAAATATCCTCAACAAAAGTGACATGTCGGGAAATGATGGTTTTGTTGGTTGATAAATCATAGCATAGATAGCCTCGATGATGAGAAGGAAACCCCAAGAAAACACAAGGAGTGGATCGTGGGGCAAGCTTATGTGGAGCGGTAGCACTAAGATTTGGGTAACATAGACAACCAAAAACACGAAGATGATCGTATGTGGGAAACCGACGGTATAGGATTGTGGTTGGGGTTTGGTTGTTGATAGCTTTAGATGGTAGGATTTTGAGAATGTAGGCTACCATATGAATAGCATAAACCCAAAAAGAAGGAGGAAGAGAAGCTTGGAAGAGAATGGTTTGAGAAATGTTGTTGATTGTGCGTATAATTCTTTCGGCTTTGCCGTTTTGGGAAGAAGTGTTTGGGCAAGAGAAACGAAAGACCATGTCATTATCCGCACAAATTTATTGAAATGGCGTATTGTCAAATTCTCGACCATTGTCACTTTGAAAAGATTTAACATTCTTTTCAAATTGAGTCCTAACAAATGCTCGGAAATGAAGGAAAGTGTCATAGACTTGAGATTTGAATTTTAGTGGAAAAACCCAAATAAAATGTGAAAAATCATCGAGCAACACCAAGTAATACTTGTGACCCAATTTGCTAGTAATGGGAGAAGTCCATAAATCCGCATGGATAATATCAAAAGGGGAAAACGTTACAGAAGAGGACGACTTAAAAGGAAGCCGCACATGTTTTCCTAGAGGACAAGAATAGCAAAATTAAGAACTAATTCCCTTATTACATTTGATTAAGTTATTTTTCTAAAAAAATCAAAAACTGGTGAAACGGGATGTCCAAGTCTATGGTGCCAAACTGAAGGAGATATAGCAGCTAGAGAAAGATGAGTGTTTGAAGCGGAAGTTGTAGAGAGTGGATAGAGGTCCCCTACACTATTGCACCTCGCTAGAATTGTCCCCGAAAGAAGTTCCTTCACAGAAAAACCGAGAGGGACAAAAAGCATAAAAATTACTCTTATGTGTGGGCCATACCCGGGTTGAGTCCGGCTAGCATAAAAAGCCTGGTTATGTGTGGGCTGAGGACCTAACAAAGACTGCTGAGGAGCCCGGTATTGCGGCATTGGGCCAGTGGGGTAAGGGCAGGGTGGTGAAGCCCACTGCCCTTGTTGTGACCATGCGGGCTGGGCCTGACTCCACTGATGGGCCTGATGTTGGTGGGCCGCATAAGCTGGGCTAGCAGGTTGTTGGTGAGGGGTGGAAATTCGCCCTTTTCCACGGCCTTTCCCGTTCCTGGCATTTCCACGGCCCCGACCCCGCCCACCACCACGACCACCACCACCACGTTGCTGGTCGGTCTGAAGGGGTGGCTGTGACGGCGGAAGTGAGGTGGCGGCGGCGGGAGTATGTTGAGCGATGAGGGCATGAGGTCCATGCTCTTCTTGTTTGTTTTTACGGTTTTCCTCCAACAAAAACATGAAACGAGCCTTATTAAAACTCGGTGTAGGATCGGTTTGAGAGATCAATGCAGCCACTGTGTCGTACTCACCCTTAGGTAGACCCGAAATTAGCTGTAAAACCATCTTCCTATCGGAAATCGGATTGTCGACGTTGCTTAATTGGTCGGCAAGGAGCTTGATTTCCTTGCAATAATCCGCCATATTAGCAAAATTCTCAAGCCTAATTGTGTTGAATTTCTCCTCCAAATACACGGCCCTAGTGTGCTTGTTATCATGGAAAACTTCTTCAAGTCGGGTCCATAATTCAAGAGCGGTGGCACCTTAGTTTCATGATGGTGTGAACAAGGTCCTTGGAGATGGTACTATAAATCCAACCTTTCACAATAGCGTCAAGCCTAGTCCATGTCGCATCATCAATATCTGTCGGCCGAGAGACGGAGGCATCGATATGGTCAAGGACATTGTAAGCACAAGCTTGAATGTGGAAAAGCTCAACCCAAGTTGCGTATTGCCCTTCCTCTTGATCAAGGGTGATGCTAATCAGATTTTTGATGTTTGTTACTGCATAGGCTGGCTGGAAGGTGTTAGAGGGAGGTGGAGGAGTTGCATCATCGCCGGCCATGGATGACGGAAGGAGGGAGAAGGCTGATGTGAGGCTACGGTAAGGCCAAGGGTCGGTGAGGGATAAAGAGAGAAGATAGAGAGATACCCAAGGCAATCTGATACCATGTAAGATTATGCAAATCTCCTTGGAGATGGTATTCTCATTAACCAAGTATAAATAGGGGAAACATTACAAGAGAATTCCAAGAGATAGAATACAAAGAGATACATAATTATGAATACAGAATACCAAAGGGATGAATATTATATTAGAGTTTGAATACATTTTGTATTCGATTACTGAAGGCAATAGCATCCATATATATAGAAGTACAAGCAACATAGGATGAAACCCGAAGCTTATACTAAGCCTAAGAATAAGGCTAGATACTAGGAACTAACCTAGGAGACTATTAAAATACAGCCTGGAGGAAAATAACAAATACAAAGATAATGACTAATAACAAATACAAGGATAATTAATAATAACAGAATATTGATGCTAAGCTTATCACTTAACATTCCCCCGCAAGATGGACGGCCGAAGGGAAAGTCCAATCTTGAAATGCGACTATTCCTTAACACACCGCCGTAAGATGGACGGTCTGTAGACAAGGCCAATCTTGGAGCACATGGTAGTGAGTGGGTTTCTCCATAAGAGTTTGGAGAAATAAGTTTATGCTTAACAACACTTGGTAGATAAACTACGGGTTGTCGAAAATGATTTTGTTTCTCCGAAAGGGGTGTGGAGTTAAAAAAAAAAAAAAATTGATAGTTGGCTATCCTTGGTAGAGAGACTACATAGTGCCGAATTATGGTTATCTTAGAGGGTTTAGAGAAAAAGAAAAAAATATTAATAATTGGCAATCCGTGGTAGATAAACTACATGGTGCCGAATTAAAAATTAGCTTTGCAGGCATTCCTTGGTAGATAAACTACAGGGTGCCAAAGAGGGATTGTTTTTCCATAAGGAGTTTGGAGCTATCCGAGAGGGAAGTTGAATATGGTCACCATCATTTGTCGGCATTGACAAAGGGTTTTGATGGTGTAGCCATGGTACTAGCGGAAGCGGAAAAAGAAGTTGGATCAATAGCTCATGATACCATATTAGAGTTTGAATACATTTTGTATTCGATTACTGAAGGCAATAGCATCCATATATATAGAAGTACAAGCAACATAGGATGAAACCCGAAGCTTATACTAAGCCTAAGAATAAGGCTAGATACTAGGAACTAACCTAGGAGACTATTAAAATACAGCCTGGAGGAAAATAACAAATACAAAGATAATGACTAATAACAAATACAAGGATAATTAATAATAACAGAATATTGATGCTAAGCTTATCACTTAACATATTAAGCATATTCATTAACAGAATGTATGCAAATAATGAAACAATTTTTTTTTATTTTTTTTTAAATGGAACGCAAACAAATAGGGACGAGGGAGTAATCGAAACCAAATTTACCTGCGATTGCCAAGCGGTGACATCGCTTCGACAAAGAGAAGTGCAGACGACTTTGATCCGGATTTCATTGGGTTGTGGCGGACTCACCTCCACCTCCTCTATCACCAACTCTTTCCCTGGTCCCCACGCCACCGCCGCTGCACACCCCCCAAACCCGACCCGACCCGATCCAATAACGCAAAGCAAAATTTCAAAAGTTAGCAAGTAATATTTAAAATTAACAGCTAAGTTCAAAGGAATGGAAGAAAAATGCAGCTATTTTTTTAGCCAGTTGATGGTCTAATTACCAATTAATTATAACAAAGTACCAAAAACAAAGTTAATTATACTATATACCATAATTTAGAAAAAAAAAAATGTGAAAACTCAGAAGTAATTTATAAATAAAGATTTGTCAGTGTGTACCTTTGCAGGTAATAACCTGAGATGATCGATTAATGATTTTAGTAGAAGATGACATAATGTAGATAAATTAAAGTGAGAATAAACTGAAGAATTTGATTTGGTTGCAGAATGTGGAGCTCTAGAAGAAATGTGGGTAGGTGAATATGAGATTTGTGATCGCGTTTATATAGAGTCAATGGAGTTATGGAGCAACAGAAAAGCATTGACACTGGTGGGTTTAAAAGTTAGGTAGACAGAAATCCAAAGTTTATTTGTTGATAGGGGTAAAGTCGTAATTTTAAATATGTTACTTTAAGAAATATTTAGTTGTTTATTTTTACATCATCTCTCAATATTCCATTTTGTAAAGCAAATTAATATACACCGTCTCCTGCCTATTTTCAAATAGAATTTGTTATATACATTCAGGTAATTTGCTCATTAATTTTTCTTCATTTAATAAGTGAGCAAAAAAAATTGTTCATTCATTAAATGAGTAAATTACCCGAGTGTAAGATACACCCTAGTGTACAGAATAGGAGAAACGAAGGAAGGATTTGAGATAGTAGAAGATCAAACACCCCACAAGGTCAGCAAAGAAGTAGGAAGAAATTAACGAAAGCCAGCATGCTGTTGGCATTACTCGTCGATAACAAATAAGTAAGATTAGTTGGATAATTTCAAGCAATGGTTGATGGGTACAAACTGTTTGATTTTGCTGGGAACAAATAACTAAAGCACGACTACTAATAAATTAGTTTGAACTGATTTTATTAAGCACGGGGATTGAAAAGTATGGGTATGATGGATTGATGGGAGCGAGGTTTGACACAAAGAATCAGATCCTAGAAGACTACTATAACACAGACTATCATACTAACACATTGCTTTTAAAAGAAAAAAAAATTGCACAACTTTTCTAAATAATTCAATAATAAAAAAAATAATAATAATAATAAAAAATTAAAAATTAAAAAAAAAAAAACTCATGCCTACTAGCTTAACTAAAACTTTCTGTGAACTTAAATCAAGTAGTCAGAAACAGCATAATGTACTGCCTTATTTCATTAGAAAATATTTCTAGACTAGTGTATTATTGTAAGGTTGTCACAAATTATGCACCTGGGTTTACCATATAAGATAACTAAATGATAGATGTGGTAGGCGTTTCGTGTGAGTAAGATATGTACGTAGACACTGCCTACTGGCCACTGGCCTGTTCTAATAATACTGCTAATACTTACAGCATTCTAACTGCATCAGACTAGTATCAGTTAGTCATCAAATAAGGATGACCAATTGAACGAAATAAAACAAATATGGTACTACAGTATGTACTGTTAATTCATCAGTTTGGACATTGATTTGATTATTGTGCAGATTGTGAAGTATTGGTAAGACGAGAGGTTTTGGCCGACACAAAGCTGCACAGCACAGATTTTGTTTAAAACAGATTTATCGATAGAACTGCACAGCACAGCTTTTGTTTAAAACATATCTTGTACCCTAGTAGCTATGTTCGTGAGTCCGCCCCGGACTTATAATCAAAAGTTTCAATAATTTCAATCCAAGTATGAATGAAAGTTTGCATAACTTTTCGTAAATAATGCTGGAATCAAGATACAAATCTCATGTCTGCTAGCTTAATGTAGACATTCTGTGACACTGTTATTGCAAATACCATTGCAAGCTAGGCAAAGGGTGCCTATACCACCTCCATCAACTACAAATTTTTAACCACTGCTATTAAACATGAATGCGAATACAAAGATTATAGGCATTTGCAATAGAAACCAAGTTCATACATCTACAATAAAGCACCAAACATTTCCTTTAATTTAATGAATCCAATATCACGCTAAAGAAAAAGGCTAAATTGTTTCTGCAGGCTGTTTACATAATGAATCTAGAAAGGAAAAAAAAAACAAACCATCTAAATCACTAACACAATGAAACTCTTATGCAAGTCTCTAATACGACATTCCGAGGAATGGAAGCAGTACAACAATTGTCCTAATGTCACAACAAAAGAAATTAAACAATGTTCTGAGAAATATTTATTACAGTACTCTCTAATTGGTTTATTCTAAAATTTTTAAGTGGTTAACAACTTGTAAGTTGATAGAAGCCATGCTTATGTACCTGTTAATCGCCTTTGGGTCTCTTTAGAGGATTCACTAAACTCTCGACATAAGTATCTACATAACATATTTGATTACCAACAGTCCTTACACAAATTTCTCTCTGCTGGCTAGTAATGTTATAAGACATCAGTTTCGAGGAGGCCCCCATTACTCTTCATGAGAAACGAACATTGTTTCTCTAGTGGCATTATTGAAAATATGTCCAACTTTTTACCTTGTTGGACTGCTGACTGGGTATAGGTAGGGACATGATTACTTGGCAAGTGTTGCTGACTTTGGTGTTACATATTGACGAACGTTATCTTCTCAACTGGGACCACGCAGTAAACCCAAAAGAACAAAAGAAAGCTACTTGTCACGACCCACACATTCCACCCCTCACTAGGGCCATTGGACGGTAGGCAACAATCGTGGCTAGGGGGAATGCCCTTGGTGCGCGCTGGCTAGGCCAGAGACACCCTCCCCCTATAGAGCTTTATATTGCTCCAGTGCTGTCACCCTAGTGAACACTCAAGTGACAGTAACACAATAATGGGCTATTTGGGGACCCAAATGAAGTCCGATTGAGCCCAACTTTGGGGGTCCACCATTTTTAGGCCCAATGAACATCATGGTAGTGTTAGATTTTGAAGGAGAAGTCCGGAAGGTTCCAGAATACTCAAGGAGACTCGAGATGCATCCGGAAGCTTCTAGAACCTCCTAGGACATCCTTGAATCATCTGTAAATTCTAGAGTTGTGAAGATAATTCTAGAGCCTTGTACATAGAGGGAATGTACTAAAGAAATGTATAGAATACTCTAGAAAGGATTAGATCTAGAACCCTCCATTTGAGGAGGTTAGTGAAGGTTCTAGGCCATGCTTAGAACACTATAAATAGGGGACTTGGCCTTCATTTGGAGGCATCTCAGAAAATACTTGTAAACACTCTCTCTCAAGCTATCAAAGCATTCAAAATATTTATATCCTCTTGTGTTCTTAACATTCCTTAACTTTCGTTGCACACTCTTGCTTGAAGCATTTCGGGGTTAAGCCTTGACTAGCATCCGAGGGAGGGAAGTTAGTAGGCTAGCGTGCATAAGACTAGGGGGATTAGTCAGCACGTGACAACGTGGTATCAGAGCAGCTACGGTCGCGGGGGACTATAGTGCTGTCGAGCTTTGTTAGCAAGTTGTGAGCAAAGGAGGAAGAATGGCAAAGAGCAAGGACGCTAGTGCTTCACAAACAACCGAGGGCTATGCGCCTGAGGCTCTCATTCAAGCTGTCCAAAAGCTTGAGAAGCGAGTGAATAAAGTTGATGAGAGATCGGCCAAAGCCGAAGTTGCTGCTTGCGACATGACGGATTCTGTCGGCAAGGTCGAGAATGAAGTTATTACGCTCAAAGGGCAGTTAGGGGAACTAGACAATCGTCTAGAGGAGGTATCCCTTGATGCTCAGTCACTCGCTGATCAGGCTTTTGAGAAGATGATGGGCGAGATGGCGAAAATGCGTGAGGAGTTCACGGGGGAACTCCTTGCTTTGAAGAAGGAGAATGAGCTCCTCAAGGAGGAACTCACGTTGCTAAGAAGGGCTACGGTGGCTGGGGGCTGTGCACTTGGGATGCTCGGGAAATTGACAACTTCCTATGGAGCATGGAGCGATACTTTGAGGCTGTGCACTTGGAGGAGGATGCCTCCAAGATTAATGTTGTCACTATGTATCTCGGAGATGATGCCATTCTGTGGTGGAGAAGGCGTGAACAAGACATCAAGAGTGGTTCATGTTCCATCCGAACATGGGACCAATTCAAGGAAGATTTCAAGAAGCAATTCCGCCCGCATGACGCAGCCAAGGTCTCCATGATGAAGCTGCGTGAACTCAAGCATAGCAGCACCATCAAGGAGTACATCAAGCAATTTACAACCCTCGTGCTCGAAGTTGATGATTTGCCGGAGGCTACACAACGTATATATTTCATTGGAGGGTTGCAACGATGGGCTCAACAAGAGGTAGAAAGGAGGAACGTTCAAACACTTGCTGAGGTCATCGCAGCTACAGAGTCCTTGGTTGATTACAGGGACACAAGGAAGGAAGGGCGCAGCAACGGCAGCAAGGGAAAAGGTGGGGGAGCCAAGCCCACCGATCGAAGCAGCACCAGTAGCAACAAGACGGTGAAAAAGGACAAGGCAAAGGGATCATCGTCGTCTCCTTCATCATCTGACAAGCCCAGCAACAGGGGTTGTTACTTGTGCGGAGGGCCGCACTGGGCAAGGGATTGCCCAGGGAGACAGAAGCTCAGCGCCATCATAGCTTCGGGCGGTGAATCGTCGGGGGACGATGCACAAATGGGGTCGTTGCGCCTCTTTAGTAGCGTACGGACCACACCAAAAGCTGAGGAGAGCACCAAAGTGGTCAAGGTAAGCACGTTACCTCGCCCGAAGGGCTCAGTTATGTTTGTTGATACATTAGTGAATGGGAGAGCTTCTAAGGCACTCGTGGACTGTGGTGCCTCACACAACTTCATTACGGAGAAGGAAGCAATGAAGTTGGGAATCAAGTACACCAAGGAACCGGGGAGGGTCAAGACGGTCAACACCTCGCCCGTTCCTATCCTTGGTGTGGCGCACAAGGTGCCTATTTGTCTGGGACAATGGAGTGGCACCATAAATCTCACAGTCGTGCATATGGACGACTTCTCTTTGGTGTTGGGACTTGAGTTCATCGACACAGTAAGACCTTTTTCTTTTGAAGCGGACGGGTCAATTATGATCAAAAGGGATCAAGGGTCATGGTCCGTTCCTGTCACACGAGAAGAAGTTGAAGCCAAGACAATCTCAGCAATCCAGGTGTCCAGGGGGATCAAAAAGGGACAAGAGACTTTCTTGGCTGCATTAGTGAAGGAAGAGGAGCCCCATGGGAATGAGGTTCCATCAGAAATCTCCGGAGTCCTTGTAGAGTATAAGGATGTGATGCCTCCGGAGCTACTGAAGAGACTACCTCCTAGAAGGGAGGTGGATCACGAGATTGAGCTGGAGCCAGGGACCAAGCCTCCAGCCATGGCACCATACCGCATGGCCCCACCAGAGCTCGAGGAATTGAGGAAGCAATTGAAGGAGCTGCTGGAAGCAGGGTTCATTAGGCCCTCAAAGGCACCATTTGGAGCACCAGTACTATTTCAACGCAAGCATGATGGCAGCTTGCGAATGTGCATTGACTATCGGGCTCTCAACAAGATCACTGTCAAGAACAAATATCCAATCCCGTTAGTCGCCGATTTGTTCGATCGACTCGGCAAAGCCCGGTACTTCTCCAAGTTGGACCTGCGATCGGGGTATTGGCAGGTGCGCATCGCCGAAGGGGACGAAGCGAAGACGGCATGCGTGACCAGGTATGGTTCTTATGAGTTCTTGGTGATGCCTTTTGGACTCACCAACGCCCCTGCTACTTTTTACACCTTAATGAATAAGATTTTTCGGCCTTTCCTTGATAAATTTGTAGTCGTCTATCTCGACGATATCGTCGTATATCGCGACAACTTACAAGATCATGTGGAGCATTTGAGACAGGTGTTCCAGGTCTTACGAGAGAACGAGCTTTATGTGAAGCAAGAGAAGTGCTCGTTCGGACAGGAGGAGGTGTCATTCCTGGGACACCATATTAAAGCCGGAAAGATAATGATGGAGCATGACAAGGTGCAAGCCATCAGGGAATGGGAGGAGCCCAAGAACGTGTCGGAACTATGTTCTTTCCTTGGGCTCGCCAACTATTAGAGGCGGTTCATCATGAGCTACTCAGCACGGGCGGCACCATTGACTGACCTGTTAAAGAAGAAGGCAAAATGGTGTTGGAGCGACAAATGTCAAGAGGCCTTTGATGACTTGAAAGATGCCGTCACCAAAGAGCCCGTATTAGCACTGCCCGACTACTCAAAGCCATTCGAGCTACACACTGATGCCTCAGATTTTGCTATCGGAGGAGTTCTCATGCAAGAAGGGCATCCAGTGGCCTATGAGTCACGTAAGCTCAATGACACTGAGAGGAGATACCCAGTGCATGATAAGGAGATGACAGCTATCATTCATTGCTTGCGTGTCTGGAGACATTATTTGCTTGGGAGTCGGTTCACCATCTATGCCGATAATGTTGCAACAAGTTACTTCCAAAATCAAAAGAAGCTTAGCCCCAAGCAAGCTTGATGGCAAGACTTCCTGGCTGATTTTGACTACGCTATGGAGTACAAGCCAAGGAAGGTGAATGTAGTTGCTGATGCTCTAAGCCGCAAAGCAATCTTTGCTAGCGTGAGCAGCATAGCTAGCACCCTCCTTGATCGAGTCAAGGACGGTTTAAAGGAGGATTCTATGGCCAAGAGTTTGATGGACTTGGCTAACGAGGGAAAGACCCGACGCTTCTGGATAGAGGATGGGATACTCTACACCGTCGGACGTCGCACCTATGTGCCTAAGTGGGACAACCTTAGGCGGGACATCATGAAGGAGTGTCATGATTCATTATGGGCTGGTCACCCTGGGATACAGCGGACAATGGCACTCTTGGAGGAGGTATACTACTGGCCTCACATGCGGGACGATATAGAGACCTATGTGAAGACTTGTCTTGTGTGCCAACAAGACAAGGTAGAGCAACGTGTGCCAGCAGGACTCTTGGAGCCCTTGCCTATACCAGAGAGGCCATGGGAAAGCGTCTCAATGGATTTCATATCTGCCTTGCCCAAGTCAGAGGGGTTTGGCTCTATCATGGTGGTAGTTGATCGCTTTTCCAAGTATGGGACTTTTATACCGGCACATAAGGATTGCACAGGGGAGCAAGCCGCCAAGTTATTCTTCAAGAATGTGGTCAAGTACTGGGGCTTGCCAAAGAGCATCGTCAGCGACCGTGATCCAAGGTTCACCGCCAAATTTTGGACGGAGCTTTTCAAGTTGCTAGGGTCAGGTCTACATTTCTCCACAAGCTTCCACCCGCAGACGGATGGGCAGACAGAACGAGTGAACGCTTTGTTGGAGCTCTATTTGAGGCATTTTGTGAGTGCCAATCAACGAGATTGGGCAAAGCTCATAGACATTGCCCAATTCTCCTTTAATCTGCAGCGGTCCGAGGCAACCCAGCAAAGCCCCTTTGAGATAGTCATGGGTCAACAACCCTTGACTCCACAAGCAGTTGTATCGGGCTACACGGGTAGCAGTCCCGCTGCCTACAGATTAGCTAAGGGATGGCACGAGCAGCTCGACATCACCAAGGCTTACTTGAATAAGGCCGCTAAGAAGATGAAGAAGTGGGCCGACAAAAACAGGCGCCCATTGGAGTTTCAAGAAGGCGACCTAGTCATGGTGAAGCTCTTGCCGCACCAATTCAAAGTCTTCCGCAAGGTGCATAAGGGGCTAGTGCGGAAGTATGAAGGGCCATTCCCGATCATTAGGAAGGTCGGGAAAGTTTCTTATAAGCTTGAGCTACCTCCCAAGCTGAAAATACATCCGGTGTTCCATTTTAGCATGTTGAAGCCTTACCATGTCGATCTGGAGGATCAGACCAGGGGAAAATCACAACGGGCACCTACGGCCGTGGTAGCATCGTTTGAAAGGGACATTGAGAGCATCGAGGCAAAGAGAGTCATAAGGCGTCGAGGTGTGCCAAGCTACAATGAATACTTTGTCCGTTGGAAGGGTCTCCCGGACAGCGAGGCCTCGTGGGAAAAAGAAGAAGATTTGTGGCAATTTGCGGACAAGATCGAGGCGTTCGAGTCGGGATCTTGACGAGGGCGTCAAGACTTAGGTGGGGGAGCATGTCACGACCCACACATTCCACCCCTCACTAGGGCCATTGGACGGTAGGCAACAATCGTGGCTAGGGGGAATGCCCTTGGTGCGCACTGGTTAGGCCAGAGACACCCTCCCCCTATAGAGCTTTATATTGCTCCAGTGCTGTCACCCTAGTGAACACTCAAGTGACAGTAACACAATAATGGGCTATTTGGGGACCCAAATGAAGTCCGATTGAGCCCAACTTTGGGGGTCCACCATTTTTAGGCCCAATGAACATCATGGTAGTGTTAGATTTTGAAGGAGAAGTCCGGAAGGTTCCAGAATACTCAAGGAGACTCGAGATGCATCCGGAAGCTTCTAGAACCTCCTAGGACATCCTTGAATCATCTGTAAATTCTAGAGTTGTGAAGATAATTCTAGAGCCTTGTACATAGAGGGAATGTACTAAAGAAATGTATAGAATACTCTAGAAAGGATTAGATCTAGAACCCTCCATTTGAGGAGGTTAGTGAAGGTTCTAGGCCATGCTTAGAACACTATAAATAGGGGACTTGGCCTTCATTTGGAGGCATCTCAGAAAATACTTGTAAACACTCTCTCTCAAGCTATCAAAGCATTCAAAATATTTATATCCTCTTGTGTTTTCAACATTCCTTAACTTTCGTTGCACACTCTTGCTTGAAGCATTTCGGGGTTAAGCCTTGACTAGCATCCGAGGGAGGGAAGTTAGTAGGCTAGCGTGCATAAGACTAGGGGGATTAGTCAGCACGTGACATACTGCTCTCTAAAATGGCGAGAGGAGATAATTTTCATTCTTGTTGGCGATTTCAAATCCGGCGTAGCTGATGCTCTGAGGCGGTTTCCAATCTTAATTGGTTGATATTCTGTGTGAATGGAAGTAGAGGTTAGTCGATTGGTTTAATGTTGGTCATTGTTTAATTGCATTAGGGTTTCTGAAGATATGTTCTGCTAGTTTTTTATTAAATTGAGTACCGAATGTAGCAAACTTTGTTAATTGAACTATAAATTGTGAAATAAATTGCAAATATCAGTTACTAGTTGATATTTTGGTTACAATTTAGTGGTTCAATTTGTTTGTAGTTTTGTTGTTCGAATATTGCAGTTTTTTGTAATTGAACTTGAATTGTGAATTAAATTACAAATATTATTTGGAAATGGGTTGATGTAGTTAGTGGTGTAAGTTGTATCCTTTGATTTTAACTGATTGTTCTGTTAATGTCGATTGTTCAAATTAGGTTTTGTAATTTTTTTTCCAAAATTGAAAATTAAAGTGTTGCGATGTTCAAGTGTGGTTTCGTTTGGAAAAATTGAGTTGTATATTACTCTAAAATTGAATTTACGAATTCTAGTTACCTGGTAGAATGTATAGCTGAAAATTGATTTGATTGAGCCTATAGCATCTTTATTTTGTTAATTGGTTGATATACTAGGATTATTACTGTTTCAGTTGCACTTTTGGTTGTTACAAACTGCTTATTTCTGTTGCACCTAGCTCTGACATGGTAGAATCTGCTATTTTCTGTCTTGTGTCTGTGTTGTTAATTTTGCTTAACTGCTCCTTTTTTGTTAGACACATTATTTTTGGTTTTGCTAAGATTGCTAATGTTTAAGTTGGAATGTGAATCTATGTTGTTTTATGTGTGGAAGGAGTAAAAGGATGAAATGGGGACTGATAATTTTGACTCGGATATGGAACCTGTTATAGGGGGCATTGAGGCTGGTGTTGTAGATTGGGGCAGTGGAGTAAAGTTTAGGAATACTATTGATGTGGAGGTTGAAGATGTGGGGGGTGAAGGTATAGAAGATATAGTAGTTAAGGATGTTGTTGTTGGCACTGATAATGTCACTGGACATGGTGAAACTGATGACTCAAATGCAATTTCTGTTAGGTATTTATCCCCCATGAAAACAATTCATACGACACACACAGTTGTTGGCAGCAACCAAATGACTGTGCTCACTGTTGAGGAGCCTAAGCTTGGGATGGTATTTAAGTGTTGGCAAGAAATTGAAGCTTATTATAAGGAGTATGCTGAGCAGATTGGGTTTGGAGTGACAAGGGTGCAGGGAGTAAATTCTAAGCAGGACAAGAGTAAAAGAATTGCTACCATTTGGAAGTGTGAGTGTTGGGGAAGACCCGACATGAGGGCTAGGAGGGAAGCCAAAAAGAGGGCAAAGGCAATGGGAGTTGGAGGTGCAGAGGGATTAGTTGACGGTGATATATATGAGAATGAGTTGAGTCGTGCAAAGCGGACTTCAAAAAAGTGTGAATGTTTGGCCCGAATTTATGCTAGTCTTAATGAAGATGGTGCTTGGGAATTGAAGACCGTGCACTTAGAGCATAATCACTTGATAGATCCGGCTCAAGCGAAGCTTGTGAAGGAGTATCGCATGAAGCACATCACCTCAAAGGTAAAGAAGAGGTTGATGGATTTCTATGAACAAGGTGTGCCGATATCTCAGATTCATGGGTGCATGGCAACTGAGCGAAATGGAGTGAAAAACATGTCGTTCACTGTCAAAGATTTACAACATGAGGTATACAAGGCTAGGCGATTGAAGATGGTTGGAGGTGATGCAGTGGCTATGATGGAGTTTTTTCAAAAAATGCAAGCCGGAAACCAAAACCTTTTCCACGCACAACGTTTAGATGAGGAGGGGAGGCTTAAGGATGTTTTGTGGGTAGATGCTAGAAGTAGAGTAGCATATGAGGAATTCGGGGATGTAGTTTGTTTTGACACAACCTACCTAACTAACGAGTACGAATTCCCTTTTGCTAACTTCGTTGGTGTGAACCACCATGGCCAAACTTTGTTGTTGGGATGCGCACTTATATCACATGAAGACTGTGATACTTTTGAATGGGTATTTCGGCAGTGGCTAGCATGCATGAACAACCGACCTCCTGAAGCTATTTTGACCAATCAAGCAGCAGCCATGCGGAGGCCCCTACTTGAAGTCATGCCAAACACTATTCATCGTTGGTGTATATGGCATATTATGAGCAAGATACCGGAAAAACTTGGCAAGTGTGGACGGTTAGTTTTTTTCATTAACTAACCCTGTTTAACTACTAATAAGTATATGTTTTTGTTGTTTGTTAAATTTGATTGACTGTTCTACCCTTGAGCAGCATGATCAACTTCATATATATGGCTATACTGTGTTCTGCCTCACTGCATTTCAGATACCTTTAATGCAATCTGCCATTTCAAATATTTCAGTGCTGGTCATATCTAATGAAAGACCTTTTTCTGTATTGATTTGTATATGATTAGTTACCAAGATTTTGTCAACCTTCTAAAAGCGGTTGTGTATGAAAGTTTTACCCCCATGGAGTTCCACGACCGATGGGCAGAGCTTATATCTGAGTACAATTTGGAGGAGAATGACTGGCTGCAAAAACTCCACAAAGAGAGTTATATGTGGGTCCCGTCTTACATGAAGGAGTTCTTTTGGGTAGGTATGAAAACCACTCAGAGGGTAGAGAGCATACATCGGTTTTTCGATGGCTATGTGAACCGACAAACCAAACTTCATGAGTTCCCTCAAAAGTATTGCATGGCGTTGAACAAACGACTCCAAGATGAGGAGAGTGCGGATGACCGTTGCTCGAGAAGGTTAGTTAGTGGGTTTAAGGTTGAAGAAATCTTTCGGAAGTTATACACGGACATTAAGTTCCAAGAAGTTCAAAAACAGTGTTCAAGGATGATGTACTGCAGCATTCGAGAGAAGAAGGTCTTGTCAGAAAGCCTTATTCATTATTTGGTGCGGGATCGTGTATGGATTGTTCCACCCGGTGCTAGTGAGGATGTAATTACAGATAGGCGGAGGATCTACAGTGTTTCATTCTTTCCGATCACAAAGGAGGTGCAATGTGAATGTAGGATGTTCGAGACACATGGCATACTATGCAAACACTCAATTAGGATCCTTGATGAAAACGATGTGGAAGTTCTTCCTGATAAGTACATTTTATCACGCTGGCGGAAAGACATTCCCCGGAGACACACAAGGGTCAAAGTTCACAAGGAATCTTATTGCTCACTTAACACCAATGAGTATTATTGCTTCACTATGCAGTTCGCCCCCTCCTTTGCCTAACATGGACACTAACCCCCAGTTCTTTTGACACCATCTGTCCAGAAAAAAGAGGGTAAGCCATCACCATATAAGAAAAAGAACAGAATATTAAAAACAAAAGGTATGTACTACGCACGTTATGCTCATCTAAGGGTCCAACACTATCTCTTGCATCCCTTGGATGTTGTTCGCCATAAGCTACATCCAACACCTACAACAAAAAAAATATAGGTTATTGCAGCCACATAACTAATGCCATTTATGATAAAAATGAATATGCTTACCCCTAACCTCCCAAAGTCCCCGGAAATCATTTTGTCCATCTTCGAAGCTCTTCGAATATGTTGCATATTCCAGGCTTTGACTCTAGGAAAAACATCCCAATCAACAGCATCCCTATCTAAACGGTCCAAATAAAAGATCTGAAAAAAAATTATATATATCATTAATAATTAATAATGGGGCCTCATCAATGATCTATCAATAATATGCATGATAAACAAAACTAGTAAGTACTACCAAAGCCATACCACTGCAAATAGAGAACAACCCCCACATCCACTAGCAAATCCATTAGCATAGAACCGCCGGGCGAAGCTAGAAACACTCCTCATTAACTTCGATAAAACTAAAGCACACCAATCATATTGAACTGCTTCCATAGCACATCCAATTGTAGGTATAAGATCAGCTGCAAGCCTTGGTGACTGCGTAGGGCACAATATCATCCCCAACGAAACTATCAAGAACAACGCCTTAAATTCCTCTTCCTCGAAAGCATCAAAGTACCCCTCTAAGCGATCCATCATATTCGAGCTCAACGGTATCCCGACAGACGTGTAAACCCGACCAGATTGTCCAGCACTCCCATGACTTTCCATACTTTAACAGAATTCTTTGAACCATTTCACGATCGTGTTGAGTCATTGTTTTGGTGCAAGGAACACTCCTTGATCCCATAGGTATCCCTAGAACCCAACGGATTTGTTTCTTAGAAAATCTAAACTCGACACCATCAGGATTAATCAACATTTTACTAATCGGATCTATACGAGTGACAAGACAATAAGCTAGCTGCCTTGGAAGTTGCATATCAAATGCAAGATATAATAGACCACCAAAACCCATTTCAGTCACCCAACGTTTTCTCCTATCATTAAATTTCTGACATATACGCCCAAACGTCTCCACACGGCCACTCATGTTCGGTGGCTATCAACCGGACCCGGGTTATTAGTACACACCAACACTTTTACAAACTTCTACACATAACAGTAAAGCTTACCCTCTTGCTGCCCTTGGAAAGTTCCACCATCACACGTGCTCCACTTTTCACAGCTCCTCCACAAGTTAAACTATCATCCTAAAATGCATAACCAAGTAACCAGTGTTAGTGATAAATCAAACAAAATTCATTTCAAATAACCATTATTATTAAGCTCTTCAAGCACTAACACATCCCATTAAATTAAAAGCTTTACCTTGAACATGCCAGGCTCCAAACATATTGTTTTAGCCCTGCCTTTGGATACTTCCTGCAATTCATTTCAGACGTTCAGCAAACAATCCAAAATCATAACTTTTTCTGAAAGACCATTCCATCCCACTAAAACCCTAAACAAGACCAAGGAAGTTGAGTTACACCTCTCTCCAGAAAATTCTACCAATACTGAACAAAATACATACCAATTTTTCTGAACGTCTGCGCTTAGAATCCCCTTCAGACATTTACACCTGTCCATTGCAACAATACCAATTCAACTACCGCGCATCTCACCAAAAATTCACTTAACAAACACACTTCTTTCACTTATTTGAATATTTGATTACCATTCAATTCACAAAATAATCATCTAACATTCGATTTCACAAATACCCAACTAGCATTCAACTGCTCGAATACTCAACATGCATTCATTTTTCACTAGAAGGAACAACCCTAACATAATTACAACCCTGAATCCACCTAATTGGAACATACATCGAACAAAAAATTACAAGGACTACCTAACTCTGAAACCAATTTTGTGGTAATTAATAAATAACAAACAAATCAATTCATGTTCTTCGACATTCCTTGGATCTATTTCAACATAATTTTGGCAAATGGTATACAAATCAGGAGTAAATCAGTTCATTCTTCACCGCACAACAAAATTAAAACAATTCAAAACAACCAGAATAGCAGAATCGTAATGGAAAGCAGCTGAGATTTACCTTTGAACTGGCGTCAAAATCTAGTGTATTTCCTCGAGTATTGCAGCTTCAAAAACTTCGTATCCCAACCTGTTCTAGCTGTACTTCGTGTTCTTTCAAATAAAAAGTTCTACTTCCTGGTCTTTGTTACTTCTTCCACAGTAATTTCATTACTTTTACTGCAGTTACCTCTTTTTAACATCAAGTTAACACCGTCAATAACACTTTTACAGCTGTCTCTTATTATATACCACGTCAAATATCGAAAATCCACTCATACCCCATGATATTACTGTATTGCCCTCAAGAGAAACAAGTGTGGTTAATCAATAAGAGAAACAGAGATTTGCCCATCAGTTTCATTTCAGATTAAACCAAAGTTAGACCGAAAATTTTACCAGAGTCTTCATCATAAGTAACCCTTCCAATATCGTTCTGTTGAAAGAAGTTATATGCATCTAAACTCGATTTTTTGCTATCGTACAGATACCACCGCTTTTTAGGCACGCGCTCTCCAACATCCACTCTCAAAATCCATATATTGCTACTCTCAGCAGAAATACCAAATACTGCTAAAGATTGGCCTAAAACAAACAAAAAATTTATCATTCGCCTCTCAGGAAATTCAACACATCGAAATTCCTCCCTCCGAAAATCTAAGGAAAGAACATGGGTGTATTCGAACACGCCATCTTTTCGAGCTCCATCGCTCATCATCCAATGCGCTGCCCCTTGACAGAAATGATGCTGAAATTGCATACCACTAAACGGAATTGCATCATTCATCTCAACAGTCTTGGTCTTCCAACAATTATTTTTACATGAATAAACCACGATCTCTGACGATAATTTCCTTATTCTAAATCCAATCACCTTGTAATCTTCAGTAGAAGGATCAAACCCCAAAACAAATTTGTTGACGAGGTGGTCGAGCATCGGACAAGGAGGAAGTATCAAAGTTTTTGTAACATATGGGTTATATATCCTCAACAATGGATACTGTGTTTGTGTAATAGTATCAACATATTCTTGGAACAAAAACAAACCATTCAAGATATCCCAAACCCTGCAATCTCCATGTACAGTAGTAATTTGGGCAATTTCTTCAAATGTGGGCTTAACAACTCTGATTACTAGTTTAGACCTTTCATTGCGTCCAATTCTTTCAACTAGTAGTAACCGATTCTTGTAAGAATTGTCGTTGAAATGTTGAAAGTGTTCTGTAATGAAAGCAGGGGAATCGATGATTGTACGCCAAGATTTGCAGACGTCTCGTAATCGTAGTAGTGTTTTCACCGGCAGCTTCTGAAATACCACCTTCCATAAGTCTGGATATAACTTCATGTCTTCCAGCCACGCGTCGCCGTGTTGAGTTTTCATTTTCTGGGTTTGCATTATAAGGAGGGAGTTGGAAGAAAAGGGTCGTTCTGAAGAGAAAGAAAATGAGCGATTGCTTGAGTTGTGCAGTGTTTGGGGTAATCTAATTAAAAAAATTATGTAAATCAGTAGGTGACAAACTGACTTGTGGGGTTTTTATAAGAGAAGCTCCAAATGTTTAAGGGGCGGGAAAACTAACTACCAACTAACTGATACAAAATCCACTTAAGTTTTTCCCAAAAAAAATAAAAAAAAAATCAAAAAAAAAGCACAAAAAAGGAAATAAAAAGTTGGACCAACTAAATCTTAGGGCTCGTATGTTTTCCGTTAATTGGGTTCAATTTGTAGGCCCAATGTATTGGTCTTCCCTCCGTAACTTTTGTACGCATATTCTTAGATGCACCCTTGTGCATCTAACTGCACCACCCATCAAATAATCATTTTATACACCAAACGCATATATACACTATGTACTACTGGACTCAGGAGTATTGGTATATATTACTTCATCTCCTCCCTTCAATCTTCTTCCTAATTTATTTCTTTCTTTGTTTCTTAATTTTCACATAAATTTTTCTCTTTTTTCCAAATTCTTTAATTAATTTTAAATTTTGGTTGAAATTTTCTCTCTCCACTATGTTTGACAACATCTTCTAGTATTAAAATTTTCTCTCTCCTCCATTTTTTAATATTTTCAATTATTCGTGATGGATTTAATTGGAATCTTGAAGAGATTGTAGATAGAAGTTAGTTTATGTTATTGATTTGTAATTTGGTTTAATTGGTTATATTTTCTAAATTTGTGATTGATTTACAATTTTTGGGTATTTGTCAATTTGTAATAGGTGATGAACACTAGTTGATTGCACTGCTTTTTCTCTTCAGTTTTCTTTCTTTTAATCAAAATTTTTTATCAAAGTTTCAATCACAATTTTCATCAAAATTTGATTCACCTTTGTTTTTTCTCTTTCGTTCTTCATTTTCTCTCTCCTCTGCTTTCTTTATTTTTCTCTTTTGTTTCACTTTCTTGATTGATTTTGTTGCTTACTATAGAATAAGTTTTTATTCCAGGATGTGTTTTGTTTTGTTGATTGTAATTAGATTTTTTTTAGGTTATATTCAATTGTAATTGTATTTAGTTTAATTTATATCACTTTGATTTATGTATGAATTTTGATTTTTTTTTGTGGTGATTTTTGTAATGAATTTTGATCAATTTGATTAGGTTTGTGAACATGTATTCATATGAATTGAATTTACGACCTTTAATTATGATCATAAGAAAATTGAAGAAATAAAAAATAAATTTATTATGAAACATATGCATTATAAGTATTTAAAATATGAACATTTGCATTCAAAATATAAACATATGCATTGGTTCATTTTTGAATGCGTATGAACGTAATTAAGCATTTCAGAAGGTGAACATATACATTAAAAAAATATGAACATATGGATTTAGAAAGTGAATATATGCATTTCAGAAAGTTTACATAAGCATTTAAGAAAGTTTACAAAAGGATTCAAAATATGAACATAAGCATTTATGAAAGTGAACATATGCATAAAAAATATGAACATATGCATTTCATAAAGTGAACATAAGTATTCAAATTGAACATAAGAATTCAAAATATGAACATATGCGTTTCAAAATGTGAACATAAGGTATCCGTTTGATTTCACTAAATTTTTTGACAATTCCATTAAAAATTTCGAACAATAGAGTATTGAACAATATTCAAACAAAATTAAGTGATAAACATATAAATTCAAACAAAATTAAATGAAATTCACATAAAACTGCCTTTTTGGGAGAATCCGTTTGATTTTTCATCTTATCACAAATGTTCATGTTTGATTTTTAAGAAAGAGAGTGAATTGTGTTTGACTGTTAGAGAGAGAAAATCAAAGAGAGGAGTGATAAATTTAAGATTAAGAGTCTCGTTTTTTTATATAAAATTATATTAAAAAATAATACTCCCTCCGTGTTTTAATAAGCGTTACACTTACCAAATCCGACCATGTTTTAATAAGTGTTACACTTCCTTTTTTGGCAAAAAGCTACATTAAAATATTATATCTCTCTCCTCTCATGGTGTCTACTCAAACCCACTACTACTTTTTTTATTACTACCTCCGGAACACATTAGATACAACTTTTGCCAAAAACGGAAAGTTCACATTAGATGCAACTTTGTTATTCTTTCTTTTGTATTAAATTTTTTTTTTTATAATTATTGAAATTACAATGGTACCATAACTAAATGTCTTTAAAATTTAATTAGACAACTAAACTAAAGATATTAACAAACATAATCTAACTAGCTTATTTTAAGTACTCCCACTAAAATTAATTCATTTCCCCACCTAACTCATTAAAATGACCCAAATTAAAACTAAAAGAAAAACAGAAAAATCGAGCCCTAATTTCTTTCTACGATTAAAACCCTAGATCTAGTTCATCTTCATCACTTATCTTGCTCATCTCCACCTTCATCTTCTCTCTCCACCTCCACTTTCTCTCTCCTTCCATTGTAGGATGGAAATATCATAACCTTCATCTTCTCTCTCCACTTCCTTATTGACCAAAAATGGCGGATCTCACCCCACTTGATAAAGCTTGTTTACTAAGTGACGATTTGGGCGAAATTCGGCAACTCAACAAGTTAATTGAGTTGATTGAGAGCGGGTCATCAGCTTCAACTATTCGCTGTCGCTTTAATTGTGAGGAAATTGGTAATGTTTTGAGTTGTAATTCCATAAAAGCTTGAGGGAAAGTTCTAAGATCTGTTGAGGAAGATGAGGAGGCAAATAAAAAAAAATTGCTCCAGAATATGGTCATGGAACACCGGTTTTGAAAGATCTAAAAGTGTGTGGGGGTTCTTCTTCCACAAAAAAGCATGTCCTGTTAACACTGCTTAGACTACGCCGTGGTCCTCCCAATAAGATCACAGATCTGATTGAAGAGGAGGAAAGTAAGGCTACCCTATTGGGGAATAAACGCAAGAGATCTGGACAAGAAGATGATGAGGGAAATTCACCGAAAATGTCATCCCCCTGTCCTCAGCGTAATAGTTTCTATACCCCTTTGCAATTTTTATTTTGATGCTTGATGACCCTAATTATCTACTATTCTGTTAAATTTGTTGATGAAAATTCACCCCAAAAATATGTTGATGAATATTTTGTTTGATTATGGGTGAAGATTATGGCAGATTTTTGCTGGTTGATTATGGCAAATTATTTTTCTTTAATATGGCATGTTGTTTTGGTTGATTATGGAAAATTATTTAGCTTGATTATGGTATATTACTTTGCTTGATTATGGCAGATTATTTTAAGCATTGGTCGTTTATGCTTTTGTTTTGAGCATTTTGGTATTTTGTTTGGAAATTAATAATTATATACGAAGTAGGTGACTGCTGAAAATTTTTGATGATTATAGTAGCATTTTATGAAGGATTCAAGTGATTGTCCATATTTGTAATCACCTTGCAATTTAGAAGTGTCAACTTGAGACAATAATTACCTTGTTTATTGCATGTTCATTTAACTTAGGTGATTGTGGCAGACTACTTTGCTTGATTATGGGAGATTATTTTACTTGATTACTTTGCTTGATAATGGGAGATTATTCTACTTGATGATTATGATGATGGTTATTGTTGATGGTGATGATGATTATTGTCGATGGTTGATGATTCTTTTTGGGTGATGATTATTGTTTGTTGGATTTTATTTTTTTTGTTTTGGGAAGGCATGTGGTTGATGGATGATGATGTCTATGGTTTAATGGTCTTAATGACATTTATTAAGAGACCTTGTTGTGTGTATTGGTCTCAATGACAATTATTGAGAGACCTTGGTTTTCTATGCATATAGGAGTCCCAAGTTTTTGCTTTTGTGACTTAATTAGATTCCTATTTTTGTTATAGCTGATGTTAACTCCTAAATCTAAGGGATGAAGGGGCTCATAAGATCCTAATAAGCTCATGTATGATGCTCCTACAATGTGTTGCTAATGTTTGTTTTGATACCAAACATGATCATACAAAGGTCATGTGGGGATGCTCCAATATTTGGTTAACACGTTATTGTTGAGGTAGCATACATGATCTCATTAGTTGATTAAAATAAACCCATATGATGGATTATATTTCTCGCGTCCAATGATCTGAATGTGTTAAAAATAGCATCTATGTAATACATACTACAAAGTGATTCATCATTGATTTGTCATTCAATCACATACACAAAAGGTTTAATTTTATCATAGGGCACTAATCAATTGCCTATGTTCAACACAAAAGTTTTGCACACGTTACAAACTGACTGCCTAATTGAAATGAAAAAAAATGACAAACGTTAAACTAAAAAAGAGAAAAAAAAAGCTAGGCTAAAAAAAGAATAAAAAAAACAAAATACACATAACCTACTAAACTTGTCTACTATCTAAGTCCTTTATGAGGTTATGTCTGGAAGTCTGCCCCTGTGTTTCTTGCTCTTTTTCCTGCATTTAGTCAGCATATACTTCTTGTTGATCACCTTCAGCCCCTCCTTCCCATGCCATTGTGATGAATCTTTCATTGATAAATTTTCTCGCATGTTCTATAATAGCTGGGATTACCTTCAAATTATCTTGAAATAAACCAAGATTCTCAAGTCTGTCTTTTCTCATGTAGGGTGGTGTGAAATTGTTGCCACCTTGACACTTAAGAATTTCAACCATTGTTCTTTGCAATGTCAACCAAACAAACTTATTAACCTTTGGCTCAAAAGACTCATAAGCTTCCTCAACCGTTTCAATTAATTCATTGAAGTTATTTGGAAATGAATGATATTTAATTGACTGAATACAATTAAATAACCCTAAATCCAACACATTCAGATCAGGGGATTGAGCGGGTTGGTATACCATTTGTATGTTGAATCCATTTTGTGTAGTGGCTGCCATAAACTCTTCCTCTCTTGGAATTTGGCGGGGTCTTGCGTTATCCCATTGAATGTATATATCTTCCCTTTTGTTTGCTGGCCATATTGCAATGATTGCCGGAATCACCTTTTGCAGAAGCATTTTCCTTATCTCATCCTTGTTAACATTCTGGACAGCTTTGATTTCCAGAGTTCCTGCACTTCTGTTTTTGCTGTTTTTCTTTGTTGTTTGGTGGATAATAAATGGGAAAATTCCGTATTTTCCATCAAATCATGCCCTTGTGTTTGAATGTGGCCTTGAAATAAGAGCCATGAACATGACCTTCAATTAAAACCTTCTGGATTGTTCACATCTGTAAGGATTATCTTCATTAGGAAGAAGATAAAACCTCCTTATTTCAGGGTTTAAAAAAAAAACCATTTTTTATCGATATGGATGACATTATCCATATCATTGATTGTTAGATATGTTGATGGCCCCCTCGGAAAAATGTGTGATAACACCCATTTGATCCTTACTATTTTGTGGTTGTATGTTAGTCTTGGATGATTGTTGTTGGTGTGGGTTCTCATAATGCCCTTCTTTTTCAGTCGATGCACAGTTGATTTGTTGACTTTTAGAGCCGCAGCATAGCTTCTTTCAGTTGTCCTCAAACGAAGAGGCACCTCCTTAGCTTTGGGCTTGTTTTCCCAAGCTTCTTAGTTCTGACATCAACCACTCCCCCTTGTTCTCTTTGTTTGCATAAATCTTCATAAATTCTTGTGATGGTAGACTTGTGCACACCGTAATCTCTTGCTAGTTTGGCTTTTGCACCTCTGGGAGATTTTATCTGTTTGCAATGCTAGGATTGTTTGAATAAGTTGCCTTTGTGTCTCAAAATTCATTTCTGGTTTTAGCATATTCCTTTGATCATTGTCTTCATACCCGTTGCTGAAATGTATATGTAGATCATTGTTGGATTGCCCCATTTCTTCCTTCAATAAAATCTGATCAATGCTTAAAAAATCAGAACTTTCCATGCGTTTTCTTTGATGCTTACAGGTTGTTGATGAAGAAAGAGGTTGGAAGAAGTGCACAAGATCGACTATTAAGCTCAGATGCTGATGTTAACGAAGATACTCTTTTTTTTTTTGGAGGACTCACTTAATTTATGGTGTATTAATTAGGACATTATGTTTGGAACCTTGTTATTATTGAAAATTTATGATGAAGTTGCTGGTAGTTGATTGAATTTATAGTGAAAATGTGATAGTAAATGTGGTACGGTGGATCGCAAATGAAGTTGGGTCAAAGTTTTGAATTTTGATTGAAAAATTCAAGTTGTTCAAAATTTTAAAATTGGGGGAAAATTTTGGGGGAACTATGGCTGAAATTTAGGAGGGAAACGTACATCCCTCCAAGAATCAGCCAAAAATTCCAACATAATACACTCCCACCTAAATATGGTCCCCACGACAAACCCCACTAAAAAAAATTAATTTCTCTCTCTAAAATAGGTCCCCACCTTTTCCCTCACATTTTCTCTCTCCAATTTTCCTAATCACATGCAATTAAAATACAAAAACTACACTACTCAAATTTTGCCCAGGAGTCTATGAGAGCTCCAAAGTTGCATCTAATATGTGCCGAAGGTAGTATATATTTCCTCTTACATTCATTACTTTTCAATAAACTATTATCTCCACTATTCTTTCTTTTATAATTTTTTAATACTCCACCTACCCCACTTACATCTTATTTTACTTAAGTCAATTAATTTGCCTAAAATTTAGTGCCGGTCAAATTATAACACTTAATAAAACACGAAGAAAGTAGATGTTAAAAGTGATGGTTGAATGGGTTGTATTTAAAAAATATGTTGATTTTTTAGGTGGGCTGAATTTTGGGTTAATTTGGTTTGGGGCTTTTCTAATGAGACGCGTTTGAAAAAGGGCTTGTGGGTTGGTGTTGCATCTAAAACTAAAACTTTTTAACTTTTTATGCAACTTACATTTATATAACTGCCTTGGTAAATGCATGTCTGAGACTAGAGGAAGAATTCCTCCAAAACCCATCTCGATCCTTCTAACATTAAATTTCTTACAAATATGGCCAAAGGACTGAATACGACAATTCATATTGGGTGGCTACAAAATAAATAGATTTTTCATGTCCTTATGTGCAAATCAAACCTCTCTAGATTATTTAATACTAGTGTAGGGAATAATTTCAAGCGTTAACCTCTAGCTTGAACCCCACTGTGATCATACACTAAAGTACGGTGGCGTCCAAAAGGGAAGAAGATAGAGCAAAAGAGTTGCCAACAAGTTTTTAAGGAACTTGTAAACCATTCACAGGTTGAAGGTTACACCCCTTAATGATCCAAGAGATCGTCAACTCCATAAGGTCTTGAACCAAATAAGGGTTCGGGGATGAAGGTACAAATCCAACCTAAAAGAGATTGAACCTGCCCTAATAATAGGCCTCTACTTTATTCTGATCGTATTCATGTGCGCTTTCTGACTAACATACAATCAATAGGATTAGCCCTAAACCTGTTTATCTATGTTGGTTGAATTTAATGCACAAATAAATCTATTATTGGCGATCACTTGAATTATAACCATATTAACCCTAACAAGATTATTAATTATCTTATTAAGCGTGATTACAAGTACCAATTCCCTTTAAACATGCATAAAAGTTGTGATCAAGTAATAACAATAAATAATCAAGCAACATAATAATAATCAAAATAATAAAATTATAACAATCATAATATTATAATCATAAATCATAAAGAATAATCATAATGATGTTAAAGCATAATAATAACAAGTTCCTAGGCATGATACTAACAAGATTAATAACAAACCCTAGCATGTCGCTAAACAATAAAAATCAAATATATATCCCTAACATGATACTAACAATCATAAATATTAGGAAGAACATAAGAAGCATCGTAATAATCATATTTGATATTAAATTTACCCTAGACATGATACTAGGAATCATAATAACAATCTAAGCATGATTTCTATATCATAACATCAATTAAACCATTAAAACACTTACTTTGATGCCTCGTACCTCTTTCTAATAACAAAATACACACGTTAGTAACTTCAAGGAAAATAATAATCAAAATAATTAAATTAAATAATGGAAATAAAGATTTGGGACCAAACCCTCAGAAATTAAACCTTTCACGTCTAGGGCGAAGGCAATTTCGAATATGACTAGGTGTTTCTAGTACTAATGTATGCGGAATTTTGTATCTGAGAAAAGCTAGTTTAGAAAAAGAGAGAGAGTGTAATCAAGAGAATCTTGATGAGAGTTGGTGAATTGTAGAGAGAAAACTAGTGATTATAGATGAGAACTGGTTCTTGAAAACAAAGTTTTTAATACGTTATTTATAAAGAAAATCAGTCAAAAAGATAAAATATCAAAACAGAGTTCTGGCGCACGTAAAACTAAACTAGCGCCAACACTGGCCATTGGCGCCAGGCGCCAAGCGTAGCTCCAGGCGCTACAGCTGGTGTTTGGCACTGATTCAGAAAATCACGCGTTTTCTTAAAATCAGATAAAAATTGTCGTACAGGAGGATAAAATCGTATTTCCCTCAAAAATACTCTTTGATTTTAATTAAAACTCTGAAAAATCAACAAAAGTCAATTTATCAATGCTAATTGAATTAGGAATGAAAAGAACCTTCTAGAAGAATCTAGAATACTAAAACCCCATTCCTAATTGCATTAGGAATGATAAATCTATATTAGGCCTTCCCCTAGATCATTGGGCCGCATATAAGGCTCAAAACGGGCCCGGTTTAGTAAATTGGCCATAACTTCCTCAATATTCATCGGAATTGGGCTTATAATATATCGTTGGAAAGCTCTTGTCAAGCCCCATCCAACTACACTACTATTGGACCCATATCATGGACCAACCAAACTGTATTGGCTGTTTTTTCTTAAAATAAGTTTTCAATTATAGAGAGAAGAGAAAAGAAATTAAAACTATCTGCAACACTAAACTTTCCACACTTTCACTTCATTCGATTATGATTCGACGCGAAAGATACTCATCACTGGGTTTGATTTTGGGGAGACACAAATGGGTGTCTACAACTGGACACATCAAACTATAGCAGCTTCTAATGCTAACAACTTTAGGCATATAACTCATACTAAGGGACTGTTCTCTTCAGCTTATATTCAGTTCAGTTCAACTCAGCTCTAATAAGTTCAATTTAATTTAGTTCTTAATTTCTTTCTCATAAATTATTCAGTTCAACTCAGCTCAATTTAATCAATCAGAACATGCCCTAAGAACGTCTCTGTGCTGATGATAAGGGATTCGAACACCCAAGGTCTTATAAGAAGGATGGTTTTTTAACCATCTAAATCAATTATCAACTATGTATAAATATGAAAATAAATGTATATAATTTCTAAACACAAGGTCTAATTAAAAAATATATATTATAAATATCAAATAAATATAATCACAAGGAATAATAATTAAAGTAGCAACCCGGTACAATGCCCGGACTACACATTAATTTAATATAAAAATAAAACACATTAGCACTTACTCTACATATTGACCTTAAATGCTCTCTCACAGCTTGGCCTCTTGCCTTCACAAGACCACCCTTGCTCAAGCTATCGTCCTACCCATTGCATTCAATTTTAAAACTCAACCAAATTTTTTTACCCTCTTATACCTCTAATTACAACAATCTTAGAGTTTAGATTACCTTAAATAAGGCAGGGTGCAATTCTATTAGCTTTTTACAACAACCACTGTAGACACCCAATTGTGTCTCCCCAAAATCAAACCCATTGATAAATACTTTTCATGTCCTTTGATTATCTAATGAAGTGAAAGTGTGAAAATTCTAGTGTTGTGGTAGTTTTTATTAAAAATCTCTCTTTCTGTTTTCGAAAACCTACTCTATTTTATGAAAATGGTCAGTCCAATTTAGTTTGATCCATGATAAGGGTCCGGTAATAGTGTAGTGATATGTCCAATTTATATAGTGTTTTACCCCCGTCCCGTGGTCATAATTAGTAGTGTTTTTGGCTCTTTAGGGCCATTTTTATTACTAATTTGTTTTTCTAGTGTTTTCTTAGTTTTAGTTGAGTTTTACAGGAAATTGCACTTTTAGAGCATTTTCCCGGGCATTCATGGATCAACTACGGAAGCTAGAAGGACACGATCGCTTTTAAAGCCCAAGATCGGTGAGAGCCGGTGATTAAGGGCTCGGTATGTGATACCGGGGCTATTGGATCGATTAATCAAGACCCGATAAGGAAATCCAGATTGGGCCGAGGAATCGAGCCCAATCGAAATCCAAGCCTCGAAGAAGAAGTCGGGCCCGATCGGGCAAGCATACGCCCGATTGGGCGGATGCGCGCAAAATTATCCTCAAGGAAGAGGCGTGCCCAGTCGGGTGAGCGTAAGCTCGATCGGGCGCAGCATACCAAGAAAGGGCAGAGCAAAAAGGCGGGCTCGATCAGGCGGCCCTTCGCCCGATCGGGCGCGTGTTTTTCTTAGTAGATGATTAGTTTTGTTTTAATTTTTGTTTTGAGGAATGTTTAAGTATGAATTATGTACGTAAATTCTGATCACCTTCACTTTTAGATTTTCTCTCTCTACTTAGGTTCTAGAATAGTTTCTCTCTCTTATACTTTGTTCTCTACTTTATTCTTAATTCCAGATTTATTTTGGTAACGATTTCTTTTCTCTTAATCTTAGTTGTTTATTTTATTCTTTTGATCATGTCTTACTTTATTGTTTTGATTAGTTTAGTTTTTATTATGTGTGAGTAGTTCTATTTCTAGGGCTTGTGGGGATCCATAAATAATATGAAGGGGTAATTTATTGTTGTTGATTGTTAATGCTAGATTAATTTACTATTGATTGATTTAATGCTCTGTGACTAGATTAGGCCTGATCTTTTATGCATGAGTTTGACAATATTGATTCGAGATTTGACAGATGAGAATTAATGTTTAGGTTTAGTTTCATTAGGCAGGTTAATTTATAAATGGTTAAGTCGAGATTCGAAAGATGAGATTTAATACCGGTAAATTAATTGTGTGATTATAATACGTAGCGAAAGCCCTTTATAATCTGATTAATGTATGCATTGATGAATGATTATTATATTCTACCCTGGAATATTATTTATTGGTGAACCTATGCCCTAGCTAGATCCTTTTATTCATTGTTTTCTCCCTA